CTGTCAAAACAATTTGTCAAAAGCGTCTGTCCTGCTTTATGTTCCCATGAACAATGTGTGTGGTTCCCGTTGCTCTACATTCTCTACATGCAGCATTGCCAGTCATCTTAGTTTTAGTCATTGCAGTGAGTGTGTAGAGGTCATTGTGATTTTAGTTTACATTTTTGTAGTAACTTCTCTTATGAGTATATTTTCTTATGTTTTTGGTCATTGAGATAACTTTTTTGTGTGTGTGAAGTACTTTTGCATTTCCCCATTCATCATACTGTCATTGCCCTCTATAGTTAGGATGTGTGGTTTTATTGGTATGTGATGTAAAACATGGACCTGTGTATAATAGTGATATAAAACAAAAAAGTAATGTGTAGCTTTATTAGATTTTTGAAAAGCAGACGATATTGGGAATCCAGAATTGAATGTTCATAGTGTGGATTTTGGTTTTTGCAAAAGAACTAGAAGATGGAAGTTATTCATTATATAGCTAAATTTTTATAATGACTGACATGCTAACCTGGGGGAGGTCCATGGATTTGATGGAAAATCAAAGCCTTAGTTTCCTATTTTTATTTTATCACAGGTTTTAAATACATGAGTCATGAAAATCACACATGTTGAAAATTTATATTTAAAAGAAAAGTTTTATTCATTGATTCAAGAGTGGGAAACATTGATTTGTTTCACTTATTTATGAATTTCATGGTTGATTCTTATGTTTTGCAATTTAAAAATTATTGTTTATTTCTGGAGTTTTTAATTTAATATTCATTATTTCCAAATATTTTTTCCATTATCATTAAGTCCTTTTATGCTCCTTCCTCTCTGCAATCCCCATTCTGTTGTCCATGTCCATGAGTTCTTTTTCCTGAGTTCCTCCATATCCAACAGTACTACCCCCACCCCAGCTGTCATCCAGCTATCTATGTGTCTGTCTCTGTTTTGCTTGTTAGTTCAGTTTGTCCATTGGATTCCACGTATGAGTGAAAATGGATGGTATTTTTCTTTCTCTGATTGTACTGTAGCATGTCATCTGCAAATAAAGACAGTGTTACTTCTTCCTTTCCAATCTGGATGCCTTTTGTTTCTTCTTTTCTAATTGCTGTGACTAGAACTTACAGTACTATGTTGAATCTCTGTTGTTCCTGGTCTTAGGAGAATGCTTGTAGTTTCTGCCTGTTGAGAATGAAGCTGGTAGTGGGTTTGTCAGATTGGCCTTTGTGTTTAGGTATGTTCCTTCTATTCTCACTTTGCTGAGAGTGTTTAATTATAAATGGGTGATGCTTTTATCAAATGCTTTTTCTTCATCTATTGGTATGATCATATGTTTTTATCCATCTTATTTATGTGGTGAATCACATTTATTGATTTATGATTATTGTACCAACCTTGGATTCCCTGAATAAATCCCACTTGATCTTGGTGTTTGATCTTTTTGATGCATTGCTTTATCTGTTGGCTAATATTTTATGGTGGATTTTAGTATCTCTGTTCATCAAGCATGTACTTTCCTTTGCAGTGTTGTTTTAAAATATATATTTTATTATTTATACTATCACAGTTGTCCCAATACCTCCCCATTTGCCCCCCTCAACTTGGTACTACCCATTCCTTCCAGGAATTTCTCTCTTTAGTTTATGTCCATGGGTCTTACACATAAGTTCTTTGTCTACTCCATTTCCTATATTGTTCTTAACATCCCTGTCTATTTTGTACCTACCAGTTTATACTTCTTAATCCCTGCAACATTTTCCCCATCCTTTCCCTTCCCCTTGCCAACTGATAACCCTCCAAGTGATCTCCAAATCTATGATTGTTTCTGTTCTGCTTGTTTGCTTAGTTTGTTTTTTAGCTTTGCTTGTTGATAGTTGTATATTTATTGCCATATTACATTCATAGTTTTGATCGTTTTTCTTAAATAAGACCCTTTAATATTTCATATAATAATGGCTTAGCGATGATGAACTCCTTTAGCTTTACTTTGTCTGCGAAGCTTTTTATCTGCCCTTTGATTCTAAATGACAGCTTTGCTGGGTAGAGCAATCTTGTCTGTAGGTCCCTGCTTTTCATCACTTTGAATACTTCTTGCCAGTTCCTTCTAGCCTGCAAAGTTTCTTTTGAGAAATCAGCTGACAGTATTATGGGAACTCCTTTGTAAGTAATTATTTGCTTTTCTCTTGCTGCTTTTAAGATTATCTTTAACCTTTGGCATTTTAATTATGATGTGTCTTGGCATATGTGTCCTGGTTGTCCAATTTGTTGGTATAGAGTTTATAATGTTGTACAATCCTTTGTTTTTCTTTGGTGTTAGTTTCTCTTTCATTTCTGATTTTATTTATTTGGGTCTTCTCTTTTTCTTGATGAGTGTGGTTAAAGGTTGCTTTTTTAGACTGTATTTCATTTATTTCTTCTCTAATCTTTATTATTTTCTTCCTTCTGCTCACTTTGGGCTTTGTTGTTGTTTGTCAAGATCCTTTCAGTGTAAAGCTAGAATGTTTATTTGAGCTTTTCTTATTTTTTGAGATAATGCTATGAACTTCCCTCTTAAGATTATTTTCCCTGTGTCCCACAGATTTTGGATTGTTGTGTTCTCATTTTCATTTGTTTCAGAGTATATTTTGATTTCCTACTTGATCTTGTTGTTGACCCATTTACTGCTTAATAACAAGTTAGGTAGCTTCCATGTCTTTGTGTGTTTTTCAATGTTGTTTTTGTGATTAATTTCCAGTTTCATAGTGTGGTCAGAGAAGATACTTGATATTATTTCAGTCTTCTTGAATTAATGAGACTTGTTTTGTGTCCTAACATGTGGTCTGTCCTAGAAAATGTTCCACATACATTTGAAAAGTATGTATATTATGCCTCTTTGGGGTGAAATGCTATGAAGACATCAGTTAAATCTATTTGATGTAGTGTTTTGTTTAAGGCTACTGTCTTTGTTGATTTTTTTGTCTGGAAGATCTGAAGTCAATGGGGTTTTAAAATCCCCAACTATGAGTGTATTCCTGTATATCTCTTCATTTATTTCCATAAAGATTTCCTTACACATTTAAGTGCTCCTATGTAGGGTGTATAAATGTTTACTAGGGTTATATCCTCTTGTTGGATTGTTCCCTTTATCATTAAGTAGTGTCCTTTTTTTGTCTCTTACTATAGTCTTGGTTTTAAAAATCAATTTTGTTGAATATAAGTATTGCTACCCTAGGTTTTTTTTCTTCCAGTTTGAATGGAATGTCTTTCCCATCTGTTTACTTTTTTAGTTTCTGTGTATCTTTTGATCTGAGGTGCGTCTCTTGGAGGCAGTATATATATGTGTCTTGTTTTCTTACCCATTCAGCTACCCTCTGTCTTTTGGTTGGAGCATTTAAGCTATTTACTTTTAAGGGAATTATTGATAGATAGGTATTTAGTGCCATTTTACTGTTAGACTATTTTCCTCTATTTTGTTTTTCTTAGTCTTTGTCATGTTCCGCTTGTTCTTAAAACAGCGGAATATATGTTGCATGCTGGTTTGGTGTTTACAAACTCCTTTATAAGCTTTTTCTAGTCTGGGAAGCTCCTTATTTGTCCTTTGATTTTAAATGATATCCTTGCTGGTGAAAGTAGCCTTGGTTATAAGCCCTTGGTATCCATCAGCTTGAATATATTATGCTTCTCCCTTCTGTCCTGAAATGTTTCTATTGAGAAATAAGATGACAGTCTCATTGGTGCTTCCTTATATGTAAATACCTGCTTTTCCCTTGTGGGTTTTAAGATTCTCCCCTTATCTTTAAGCTTTGACATTTTAATTATGATATGTCTTAGTGTAAGCATATGGGTCCAACTTTTTCAGGACTCTATGAGCTTATCGGACTTGTGTGTCTTTTTCCTTCACCAGATTAAGGAAATTTTTGGTCATTATTTGTTCAAAAAGTTCGTAATCCCTTGCTCACTGTCTTCTCTTTTTGGTATTCCTTTGATGCGGGTGTTATTACACTTCATGTTGTCCAAAATATTTAAGTTTTCCTCATTTTTTAAAATTGTTTTTTCTCTTTGTTGTTCTGCCTGGGTGTTTTTTTTTTTTTCTTTTCCACATTACTGATTCATCCTCTCCTCATCAATCTACTGTTTATTCCTTCCAGTGTATTATTTATTTCAGATATTACATTATTTATTTCTGACTTGTCCTTTTTTATGGTTTCTGTGTCTTTTTTCATGCTGTTGAGTATCCTTATAATCATTACTCCAACCTAATTGATAAATTGCTTGTCTTCATTTCAGCTAGCTCTTCTGGAAAATTCTCTTGTTCTTTCACTTGGGGTCTATTTCTTGTCTTTCCATTTTGGCTGTTTCTATGTATTTTTATGTATTAGTTAGATCTGCAAAGACTCTGATGCAGACTTTGGACAGACACTGCTTTTAACTGCCCCTGGACAGTCTGTTTGGAGCTTTCAGTGATGCACAGAATGTGGCTCTTACTGCTATGCTTGAGTATGTGCGGAAAGAACCAGGCTACATACCATGGCCAGCTTACCATCACTGGGCCCAGGGGACAGTCAGTTAAAAGCCTTATAGCTCTCAGGGAACTTCCTTAGTTCAACTTAATCAGTTATATAGCCTCAAACTGTACTCAGCAGCCAGGCTTAAGTATCACATCGCGGGGCAGAGTACTGTATTTTGCCATGTATAACGTGCTCCTGTGTATACTGTGCACCCATGTTTTCGGTCCAGTGTTTCAGGAAAAAAAATTTTTGCTTTAATTTTTTAATTCAGTATTTCCTTGTTGATATGTAGATACTTGTTTTTTTGCATTAGAAAGGAATTTTAGCATTTGTTTTTGAGTATAATATGGTACAATTTTATGTAACGAATAATTATAAAACACAAGAACAGATATAAGGCATTTCAGGTGCTACCCATGTATAATGCACATCCTTACTTTTCCCTCAAAATTTTTGGAAAAAAGTGTGCCTTATACATGGCAAAGTATGGTAATTCCTGTGGGTGTGGCCATTGCTTTCCCTTAGACTGATACCACTTGCAAAGGAGTGCTGTGCCTGAGAGAGATGGCTCCTGGAGTATGGGGGATGACCCAGCATATGGATCCTGGTAGCTGTTCTTTCAGTTCTCTCCCCAGAGCCACAAGCTGCAGATTTTCTTCATGCATCTCTAGTCCACTCTGCCCTCCTTCTGTCGGAGCCCAGGGTAAGTGGCTGCAAATGGAATTTTGTGTTTTGGCCCTTTAAGAGGCCCTTTGTATCTTGAGCTCTCTCTGGTGGACAGAAACCCCACTGCTTTTCACAGCAAGATGTTTACTGGGTTACTTTTTCTGCTCTGGTGCTGTAGGCTGGGGAGTCCAGCTTGGGGTTTAGACCCCATGCATCTCTGGGTGAACCCCCTGGCCACTGAAACATCCCTCTGGAACTTCAGCTGCCACTTGTGGGATCTCAGTCAGCCCTCCTGTGCCTTCTCCACACTCCCTGCCAGTCTTGTGGTGGTGAAGTTGTTTCTTCTGTCTGCCCTTCATTACAAGGCTTCTCTCCAATTAGTATTCTGTTGGTTAGTTAGGATGATTTCTCTACAGTTGAGTTGTAATTCCAGATTGGTCCTGGGAGAAGGTTATTGCAGCTTCTACCTACTCCTCCGCCATCTTGGGTCTCCCTTTTGTTGATTTTGTATGTGTCCTGACTGGAGATTGAACCTACAATTTTAGTGTAATGGCACAACGCTCTAACCAACCGAGCTACCCATTCACAGCTGAACACGTCTTTTTTTTATTTCCAGTTAAATGTTAATTGAAATTGTATTTTGTAACATCATTCTTCACCAGTTGAAGTTGTATTATATCAGAAAGGATAAACTTGGTGTGTTTTCAAGTGTTTTACATACTTGCTTTTGTGAGCAGTGTCTCAAGTTCCTTTGGGAAATGATGGCTTTTGAGTTTTTGACCCTAATCTTTGGCTTTTGATATTATTGTTTTCACAAACCATTTCTTCATATTGTTGATATTCTTTAATGCTTAAGTGGAATGTTAGCAAGTATCCTGCATATTTTGCCTGTTGTGACTTGCCTGTAATGTGGTTATTAATTGCTTTAATCCGTGTCTTATCATGAAAGCAAAGAATCAAATTCAGGTGTGACTACTGCTCTTAGATCTCTCTGATGTTCTTGTTTGACCTGGCCATGCTTTGAGCATGTGGATAACAACGTGATTCCTTCATAGTTCTCTGCCAGCAGTGTCCATTTCTGAGGAAGCCTGTCTTTGAGGTTGACTTCTGGCAAGGTGTATTTCAATATGAGCCTTTACTAATGCCCTGTTTCTTGGGTTTTTACAATTCATATGGTGTAATTTTAAACAGCTTTGTGGAGCTGTGTTTAGCTTCTGTGCTTTCTGAATTATGTCTTATTTATATTTTAAACAGTCCTTTCTTATACATTACATAATATAAACTATATGTAATATACAAATGATAGTAGAGTCCTGTACCCAATGGAAAAGGATACCTTCTTAACTTAAAGACCGGGAGAATATTAGGTCCATTGTTAATTAAGAATGGGCCTATGTATCTTCAGTGTTTTATTCTTCATGAAAAGTCATTGGAAAAGTATGTGTGCTATTGGCTGTTTAAATTTTTGACTACATGGAAAAACCTAGGGTGTGTCTGGAGATGCCTTTTCTACTTTTACCAATTTAAATGTTGTGGCATGGGAGGGTATAATCCAACATTAACTTGCACATGGTTCTTACCCAGTTTTATTCTAAAATTAATTTAAAACATTCTACTTTTGTCCAAAGTTGTCACAGTCTTGTTATACTTTGATTTCAATTGAAGGATACCCCCCCTTTTTTAAGTTTTATTCATTTATTTTTAGAAAGAGGGGAAGGGAGGGAGAAAGAGGAGGAGAGAATCTTGCCCTGCAACCAGGGCACATGCCTTGACTAGGAATCGGAACTGGCGAGCTTTCAGTTTCTAGGTTTGCATTTAATCCACTGAGTCACAGCAGCCTGGGCAGAGACCTTTTCTTTTTATGCAGTTATTGATTTTTAAAAATATATTTGACAGTACTATGATGGAGAACAGCTGTTCCTTAGATTTAGAAATATTAAAGTCCTTATGTTTTTGTGTATGAACTTTTCTCAGAGATTTTAAAATCCTAAACCCAATGTCACTGAATGGATGCACATGTGCAGGAGTTCCCTGTGATGCATCATTAGTGTTGATTATAATGCAGTGTATAGTAAACTTGGTCACAGAATTTATGATTGACTTTGAACTCTGAATTCGGGTATTGAGGCAAGTCCCCCTTTTAAAGTCTAAATATTGGCAACTAGAAGTTGGCTAAATGGTATAGATCAGTATATTTAATGGTATGTAAAATGCATGGTCACTATGGTGAAAGTTGACTTAAAAATTCTAATAGCCCTGGTATCATTAAAAATTAAGTAATCCAGTTTGGTTTGGTTGATGGTTCAATTTATTCTTCTCAGCCTTAACTTGACTAAAGTCATTATGTATATGGTAGTAACCAAGTTAAAATGTGGATCACTTGAGGAACATATACCTAGCAAGTATTACATGCAGTAGAATGCTAACTGCAGGTAAAAATATGTAAAAGATATTTTTGTTATGTCTTATTTGAAACCATATTTAAGGTTTTATATCTGGGGCCTTGGGTCATGTTGGATCATCAGGGTGTATTAATCTATGAAACTTTTTAAATTACATGTAGTATTTTGAGAATTTGTTTGTAGGTTCTAGCAGGGGAGTACAGCTACCTGTATACCCTTGACTGAAGACCAGTGCTCTCCTGTGGTTGGGAAGGTCTTCTTCAACTGAGCATGCAGCTTTGGGAGGGACACACGTGGATCAGGGAGGAAGGGGACACCCACCTAGCTGGCCAGATCAGCTGAATCAACCCCTGTGGTCAGTGGGGTGACAGATGTCACAGCTAGATCACCCTCACATCCTACATGCAGAATTTTGTATACATACTTTTGTATTTATATTTCTTGGGGATGGTCATACTTCATCCAATCCTCAAGTGAATTTGAGACACAACAGGGTTTTGAAAACAGTACTCATCTAGGGTAGTAATTTTCATTATTTTTGGGTCATTACCCCCAATAGTTAAAAAGAAATGAAGCAATGTGCATATCTAAATTGTAATTGTGTAATACTGTACTAATATTTCAGGTTTGACACATTTTGTAAGGATAAACATAAAGTTGTTCCCCAATCAAAAATCTGGGGTGCATACTCTCTTCAAAAAACATTGTTCCAAGCTATTATTAGGATAGATAAGAATCTTTCTTGTGGAGCACAACAGATGTTGGTGTACCCTGCCTCGGTACAAGTAGAATATAATTTTGTAGATACAGTAGGAAATGCAGACCCTGTGTAGGATTATAAGGTTCTAAGCTTTCAAGAGGACCTAGCTATGGAAAAAAAAGGATTTAGCAAAATAGAGCCAATATTTTAAAGTCATTAGCAGAGATGATTTAGTGTTTAGGATTTACTATTACTTAATGCTAAAAACATAAAAGTAAGCTGAATGTAGTATCATTTGATGTTCTTTGAGGTAATGGATTAAAGGAAAATCTTAGTGAATGGAAATAACCAAATGTGGAAAGACTTTAAATAGCATCCTAAGGGAAAATGATTACTGTTAAGACTTTTAAGAAATTGTTACTGAATCTAGTTTATTAAAGGCTAAATCTGACTTTATTGTATCCTAGGAGGATAAAAACATGGATAAAGCTACCTGAAATTTGACGTCCAGCACAAATCAAGTTTAGAGATGAGGATGTACTGGAGTTGTTTCCTTTCAGGTAGTGTGTTGTAATGGCTCATCCTTTCCTTCCTTAAGATTCTACTTATTTATTTTTAGAGAGGGTAAGGGAGGAAGAAACAAACATTGATGTGTGGGAGATAGTGATTGGTGGCCTCTTGCACGCCACCAGCTGTGACCTGACAGGGAATTGAACCGATAACCTTTAGGGTTCATAGGCTAGCATTCAATCCACTGAACTACACCAGCCAGGGCTCCTTCCTCTTTTAGTCATTTTTTTCTGGTGCTGACTGTGGACTTTGTGATGAACATTCCTTTGAACAAGGTTGGAGATTAATTTTAAGATCTAAATTGTCTCTGTCTATTTGTCCTTACTGGTAGTAATGTGTTAAAAAACTGTTTTGAGAACAGAGACAGAGTTGATATATTAAAACATGTTATTTACTAAAGGAAAAACATCCCTCTTATGTTCAGTGATCTGAAGCCTAAAATTTTAGTCTTACATTCATTTGGAGAGACTATAACCTTAAAATGGTTTAATATCATAAAATCTTATCAATGCTAGAGGGATAGTAGGTAAACTTCTTCCTTGCCGCTTTGTACCCTTTGCAGCGAAGATCAATTTTTGTATTATTTTGCTAAGTTGGTAGACACACAATGTTATGGTAACATTTATTGTGTGGTCTTTTTGACAGAATTTGGATGATTGTGTATTGTCATCCTGATAGATCCAGAAAGTATTAAGTGTATTCCTTACTGGTTGATGACAAATTCCATTCTCTTCTTGCTACTACAGGTGTGGCCTCAGACCAGGAGTGTGAGCATACCTGAGTTTCTCAGAAGTGCTGAATCCCAGGACACACAGTAGACTGAGTCAGACTGCCTGTTTCAACAAGACTGAGAGGATTGGCATGAGACTAAGGACCATTGATGTAAGCATACCTACCTTTGAGAAATTTGACCTTTAATGTATCCAGCACCTCATGGAGCCCTGAAATGTGACAGCTCTTTTGCATACTGTTGTCCAGCTTTAGTAAATTAACGTTTGGCAGTGATTGTCAAAGCTAATTCCTAGTGTCACTATCATCTGGGAACTTGTTAGGAAAACAAACTCTTAGGGTAGGATCTAGCAATATTTTTTAAAAAAATGTTTTTAAGCCCTCAAATAAATCTGGTTTTCTACTAGAACCACTGACCTATGTGTACAGAAGAAAAAAAATCTAAATGTAGCCCTGGCTGGCGTAGCTCAGTGGATTCGGGGTGGGCTGCGAACCAGTGTCGCAGGTTCCATTCCCAGTCAGGGTACATGCCTGGGTTGCAGGCCATGACCCCCAGCAACCACACATTGATGTTTCTCTCTCTCTCTCTCTCTCTCTCTATCTCCCTCCCTTTCCTCTCTAAAAATAAATAAATTAAAAAAAATCTTAAAAACAAAATCTAAATGTGCCACAGTCAAAAGCTGTGGCATTGTGTGGCCATCAGAGAGAACTTTGTCAGCTTGTCAAGTGAATGTCATTGGAACTTTATGATTTTGAAGTTAATGTTTTTTGAAAAAGTGAATACTGGTAATTTACAGTAACTGCTTTTCATTATACATTTTTGTTAGTGAAATGATACATTCATTCCAGGAAGATAGTAAGTTTTATTAACCTTGTGAATATTAAATTAATAAAATACCAAATACACATTTAATTCTCATAGGAGGAAGTGACCTGGTACTATCCTCCTTCAAAAATCTTGTTAAAATAATCACTTCATTTTCAGGCTATCCTTTGAAACAGTGGTTCTCACGCTTGGAGGTGCAGGATAGGCCACTGAAGGGCTTGTAAGAGCAGACCCCCGTCAGCCTGTGTGTGATTTCTGCCCGAGTGTTCTCATTTCTACTTCAGGGGGCAGCTCTGTTTGGGAACCACTGCTTTTTATTAGTAACATATTTACCCCTTCAGGTACTTAATCTTAATCTCTATATAAGCTTACAACAAAATGCCAGCTCTAGAAGTGAATTACTGAAGGACATTTTTATAGTTCAAATAGACTAATTCAGTTCCTGAATATTTTTGGATCTGCTGCTCTTAACTCAGTGGATTATTTTCTTTCTTAACAAAATGCTCATAATGACACAGGAGGAAAAAAGCCAGAAAACCAGTTGTATTTCATTTTTGAGTTTATTACTCCATATAAGTAGTGTATGGATATATGAGCAGTAACACTTGATACTTAAAAAAGGAGGCCTCACAGACTGGTTCAAAGATATCTGGAATAGCACAAATATTACATTTTCACTCAGTTTGTTTTATTCCAGTTCGTTTTATTTTAAAGATATGTACCTACTCTTTGTATGGTCTTGCTGGTTAATCTTAGAAAATATTAGGGTAGCAGCCTACAAATAAGAGTGAACCATTGGAGGGACGGTCACCATCCCATGCAATCTCTAATTTTGGTCAGTTCCCAAGATAATGGACCACTCACAAAATCTGGCACTGTTGTGAGAAAAACTATTTTGGCTATAAAGCATTTATCTTGGCCCAAGGAAAGTAAATAATGGGTCATATAAGTAAGGCTGAGATAATATGTTGCAGAGTAATAGAAATTATATTCTTAAAAGTTGAAATGATGCCAGGTATTATTAGGTTTAGATCCCAACCAGGGGTCTTGTGGGAGCTCTGGGGTATGGACAGATAACTATTTCCCAGTTTTGTTTTATTATTTCCTGATTGAATTGTGAACCCTCACTGTCATTACAATTCCTAATTGCTAGTAGGACTCCTGCGTATGGAGATCAAAAAGCCAGGCCTAGAGATCCCAGATTGGGTGGGAAAGGTGCAGTGTACCTTCAGGTCAGCACAGGATGGAAGAAACAGGGTGGATCGCATCACTCATCCTCTGAACTGAGCAAAGTTTTAAAATTTTAGAACTTTAATTCCAGGGTTTTACCAGTATTATGCTATGCAATATTAACTGTATGAAAATTGAAATTCTCAAAGTTCTCATTTCCTAAGTCACTCTCTGCTATTTTGGTGTATATAGAGCTGGGCAAAAGCATGTTTCACTTGCTACTTTATTCTTGTATTAGTAGTTATTATTCACTGCATCATTTCCACTATGAACCACTAGTGATAAGCCTCCTTTTGCCCTACCTTGTGTGTTCTGCTTCTCTGCTCTGTGCTGAGCCGTCTCCTTGTACTTTTCTGTTTCTTTCCGATTTTACTCAAAGACTGGACTTCCATGATAAATGCTTTCTGAGGCCCTCTCATAGTAAGTTCTCAAAGCAGTACCTGAGTTTCAAATTGCTACCTCCTGACATCCCACCTGAATAAATTCTACAAATTTAGAGTTCAGATGGGAGTGATTTGAGAAGATATTGTATGAAATTGAAAAATTTCACATTCCTGGACTGAAACCAAACCCCCATCTAATTGTAGTTCATCATTTAGTGAGTGTTATGAGGTATTGCAAATGTAATGTGCTGTTTATAGCCACATTGGTGCAGTAAGGAAGTTAATCTGATTAACTTGAGTATATGTCCGTATGTATGATGTACTGAAAAGGAGTAATGGCTGAGGAGTGATTTTCTTTTTCTTTTTCAAGATAAAACTGAAGCAAAAAGCTGTGAACTAACTGCTTTTCAGGGAGTCAGGCCACAGTGTAATGCCTCCCATTTGTGATGACTGGCTTAGTCGTGAGCTCGCTTATGTCCAAGATTAAGTTCAGGTATGTGTTCTGTGTCATACATATTTTATACAAGGATATTGCTTTGATTTTCAGAGAAATCACTATCCACACTTTGTACATATAAGAAACCAGAACTTTCAGCACTTTCCACTCAGGGACAAGTACTTCACCTGCTATAGAGAAGCCCTAGTTCTGAGCAAAACAACTGTATTAAAACTGTGTGACTCATGTTCCTAATACACACTGTTCACAGTTTACTAGCATACCTGTCACAAGGCAGGTAGAAGCTGACACAGACAAGGTTTTACTGATTTTAAACCTTTATGTTCCCTGTTTGTCAAAATAACTCGCCCATTTTCACATTCTGCCCTTGCTGACTTCACAGAGCTTTCTTATTTCTCTGCCTCAACTCCTAAAGGAATTGTGCTCAGATTCTCTATTTGCTTTCTACCACCCTAGAAAGCCATGCCTCCTGACAAATAGTGTATGCTCACTTAATATGTTCTTGTACAGTTGTAGGATTATCTTAGGGTAGGATTTGGACATAATGGAAATTTTCTTAAAAAGCCCATTTCTCTTATATGTGTTCCTTTTCTGTGCACTGTTGCTAACCCAAATCTCATTAACTGTTTTCTAGAAAGCTATGAATTTGCATACAGTACTAGTACAAAATTCAATCTAGTTGAAGGAGTCCAACGCCAGCCACCATTTAGCTGAAAATCTATAATACACATTGCATCTCAAAACAAGGTGGGTACCAAAAGAAAATGGAAAGACCAACACTGTGGTGTTTTCTTGAGGAAACTGTCAAGAAGGGCAGTTTTAGCATGTAAAGTAAAAATGGCTCTCTAATTTGTAAACAATGATGGATCTAATACATGATATTCTGAAACGTTTTCATTAAAATTAGAAGTCATAAAATTAACCAAGAAATAAATTTTATGCCTTTCCATAGTCCATACTGAGTTTCATTTATTAGTTTGCCAAATATTTCTTAAAAGAATGCAAAAGTCAGACCTATGGAAAAGTCCGTAGGAACAATAACCCCACATGAGCCTCACTGGCATAGCTCAGTTGACCATCCCAGTGTTCAAAATAAGGATATTCCCTTTTGGGCCACTAAAAGGGAATATCTTTGTTTTGGTGGACACTTTCTTCTATTCCTTACTTTCTTTTTCTCTTCAAATAAGGGATAACTGGAAACATACAAAGTTGTCACCTCCAACTTGGAACGTGTGGGCAAATTAGAAATAGATCAGACCTCTTCCCTCAAACTTCAAGGGTGGCAAATTCATGCTTGGGGACACAGATTCACCTAGGGTAGTAGAAAATTTCAAGCTAAAAATTTTCTTGACCCTCTATGTACTATTCCACGTTGTGGAAAACTGAAATACGCAGTTTGGACACAACACTAATTATTGAAAACTGGCACAAAGGACGTACATTTCTGTATTTTATGATGTATAGAACACACTATTCTTAAGAGACTTAAACTGCATGAGGTTTACAGATGAAACTTTAAATCTGGAAGTGTTAGCAGTGCCAAGAATTCCAAACTGCTTGTAACAGAATATTTAGCAATGCACAGGTTTGAAAGCCAGTCCATCCTGATTCATTGTTTGGTCATTGTAGCTGCACTCTGTACGCACCTATTAGCAGTTTTACCTATAAAAAGAAAACAAGGCATAGGGATCAGCACAAACATAGTCCCCCTTAAACTTCCAAATTAAGTAGTTATCAATCAGGTATTTCAATGTTTTAATTAAAATAGTCATGATCTAAAGGCTTACAATTTGAACTTTTGTTATAAATACCAAAGCCTAGAAGAGAACCCAGACTGCTCGACACTATAGGGATGTAGTACACAGGTATGTGTACATATATCTGTCATGTTTTAGATTCAGAAAGGGGCATGTTGCACGGACTGTTACCTGAGGGAGCACTGGTCTCTATGAGAGGTATACCAGGAAACCACATGAGAGAGTCATTTAGAAAAACAATTCAAGTAGGAATACTGAATATGGGGAAAGGCTTCTCACCTTAGCGGTGGGTGCTTCTGTTAACCTTATGAAGAGTTTGTTGAGGCCTGCAACAGGGTTGAATGAGTAAACAAAATGACTATCCTAGGGAAGAAGACCAAAAAAGGGTCAGTATTTTTTCCAGCATCTCCACCTACGAACAGGCTAGGTCTAATAGTATAATGTTAATCTAAAGAGGCTAGAACCCTTTAGGACTGTGCAAGTTTTGTATTTGAATTCATGAGGCAATAAGCTGTGATTTATTTGCTTTTCCTTTGATTTACTAAAAAGATACAGATGACAAAACAATATCCAAATATTTAGGATTAGAATGTGTTAGTCATATTAGCCTGAGTGTTAAAGGTCTTTATAACTATTTAATTTTGGTTATTAAATCATGCATGAAGGTTCTTCAGGAGCATTTTTTTTTAAATCCTCACCCAAGGACATGTCACCATTGATTTTAGAGAGAAACATCAATTGCCTCTTGCACATGCCCCCTTTGGGAATTGAACCAGGAACCTAGGTATGTACCCTAAGGATCAAACTGCCAACCTTTTCCAGCACTCGGTTGGAAATGACATTCCAACCAACTGAGCCACATGGTCAGGGCCAAGAGTGTTTTTTATATTAAAAAAGAATGTATATAGCCACTAATAGATCAGTTATTACATTATTTTTATTTTTAAATGTTTATAATAAAAATCAAAATTATATCATGACCAGGCATACTTTTCTTTTAGAATTTCCTTTAAATGAATGTTGTTTATAATCACAATGATGGGAAAAGGCATACTATTTAAAATTGAATTTATATTCTGAATGTTAATTTTAAGACATGACAAACATAATTTAAGTTTCAAGTATCAAACATTTAGAAAGATTTTTGATAAAATTTAGGATTGGCTATTGCCTCATTTCAAACAACAGGTTTACTGAATTATAATTAAGACTTTATTAAAATATAGCATTTTAAAAGTTATCTTTTAATTAAAAAATGTACTTTTCAGTAATGAATCACAGAAAATCTTACCAGAAAAACAGGTAGCTGAAATTTATCATTTAAAACTACGGCTTGTACACTACATGGTCCACAGAGCCGAGCAATAACATCTTTACCCAAAAAGTTTGCATGGAAAATGAACAGCAGGATGCCAGAGCCTGAGCAAGGGAGATGCAAACACAAGAGTTTAACCCAGTCCTTGAAACTCCACCTTTGAGAGCCCCAAAGGCAGAAGCATGGGTGGGAGTAGCACAGCATGGTACATGGAAGTGCCCCAGCTAGCCTCTGTGCACTTGCCCCACCTACTTTCTCCTCCCCAGTGGAGAAGCCCTTCAATTGCCAAACCACAACACTTTAAAAATTTTTTTGTTCTATTAATAGCTCATGGAACTGACTTTTTAAAACTTGCTTTTCTATATTAAAAGTGGCATTTGCTGAATGCATAAATATCCACGGAAACAAACTGCTGGACATTCTATGGTGGTTGTGTTTGGGTGTGGGTTTGAGTGATTTCCCATTTTCTTCCACATACTGTTTGTATTTTCCAAATTTTGTGATTAACAGCAAATCTTATTTTTTGGCGGGGGGTGGGGGGGGAAGCATGAGTTGAAGCTGTCATTGAATGTCCAAAATATTGTGCAAGATTCACTTTGAAGAAAAGCTATACTTTTTAATAATACAACAAAACAGCTGTATCAGCTCTTTTATGGGTAAACTATTTTTAATGTTCAGAAGACACTTCCTCCTAAAAGAACATAAAGAACAATTTATTTATTTTGGTCCCAGCATTAAAGAGCACACCTTATACTTCTGTAAAGATTTTTCTCCAGATTTATAATGTGAAATGTCTGCTTGAATAGTCAAAATGACAAATCATGACTCTCAATGCCAAGTTCACCAAAGCTACGAATGCCTGTCTTGACAAGACTAGATTCAAAAAGAGTCAATGGGGACGGTACATGCCATTGAGTGAGCATGTGTACTGTGTGGCTGTCTTTAGAAGGGTCAGAGCTATGGCCAACTAGTGATTGGCAGCTTCATCACAACAACATGCCCACTCATGCACCATGTCTTGCGTAGAGTTTTTTGGTGGAACATCAAATCACCTACGTGACTCAGCCACCCTACAACCCAGATTTAGTACCCTGCGACTTCAGAGTTTTCCCAAAACTAAAATGACCTTTGAAAGGGAAGAGATTTCAGACGATCGATGAGATTTAGGAAAACACGATACTGCAGCTGATGGTGACTGGGAGAACTGTGTGAGGTCCCAAGGTGCCTACTTTGAATGGGGACTGGGGCATCATCCTATGTAGTGTATCTTGTATCTTGAATAAATGTCACTTTTTCATATTACATGGCTGAATACATTCTGGACAGACCTCATATAGACTTTTAATGGGTGGCAGGGTTTTATTTATTTAAACAAAGCAAAACAAAAAAGCCAGAGCTCAGTTTCCTACTTTCAGGCAGACACTCCGCTTTATAAAAGCTTGTGGCACCTGTGTCCTAGAGAAAGCAGTCATGCTACCTGCAAAGCAGCTGCTAAGCAGAGGCCAGGAGGCAGAACTGAAGTTTATAATTAATGCTATTGAAGGGCAGACATCTTCTGTTCCTCTTTAAAAAAGCAATTATTAGCAATAACAAAATTTCAGGAAAAACATTGATTTTGGGCTCAGAATCTAAAAAACTAGTACAATTATTATTCCCAACTTCCATACTTTTTAAACAAGTTATAACACCATTTTCTGTGGATCCTTTAAAGTCACATGGGATGGTACGCATCAGCTGGTCCTTTTTCTGCCAGAGTAGCTGTTTTTAACTATTTTACATAATTGCTGATACTAATAGAATTTTTTTTTAAAGATTTTATAAATTTTTAGAGAGGGGAAGGGAAGGAGAAAGAGAAGAGGAGAAACATCAGAATGTGGTTGCCTCTCACACGCCCTCTACTGGGGACCTTGGCCACAACCCAGGCATGTGCCCTGACTGAAAACTGAACTGGCAACCTTTTGGTTCACAGGCTGGCACTCAATCCACTGAGCTACACCAGCCAGGGCTGAACATTTTTTAAGGTTTGTTTATATAAGGAGATCTAATAGTGTCATATTTCAGACTCATGGAAAACATATGCTTACCTTCTGGTATGTTCGGTGGGGGTTTATAATTGAAATCCATTGAAAAATCTGGCCCTTCACAGAGACGATGACATGCTATTGGAAAAACTGGTTCTAGTAGAGCAAGGCGTGCTTCAAAGTAATCTTTTATTGTCTCTTCTGCTACCCTTGAAAGTCTAATCAAAAAGTATGTAGAGTCGTTAATGAAAAAAAGAATCATGAGCCATAAAATTATTACTGATGAATGCAGATCAACTTTAAAAACCACCTCTTTCCTCTTCCTGCTTGCCTGCATCTAATGTGCCACCTGTCTTTCTCACTGTCTGTCCTTTCCTGGGAATTTGGGTTCCATGAGGTCAAGTCTTCTCCCCACTGCCCTCTCTATAGTACTTGGTGCATAAACAGTGCTCAATACCATCCCTTTAATAAATGATCAATTTGGAGAATGGAAAACAAGATTTCTATTTAAAAAATAAATTCAAGAACTGCCATACACACTTCTTGCTAACAGTGCTTACTTTAGGAAGCAAATAAAATGATTAGTAGTGCTAAATCAGAAATTTTGTTTTGATTTTAACTTTTTTAAAAAAAGTTTATTTTTAGAGAGAGGGGAAGGGAGAGAAACGTTGACTGGCTGCCCTTTGCATACCCCCAACTAGGGTTTTGGCCTGCAATCCAGGCATGTGCCCTGACCAGGAATTGAACCACAGACCTTTGTTTTGTTGAGACAACACCCAACTCACTCTGAGCCACACCAGTCAGGCCTTCATTTTAACATTTTTTAAAAAGTGTATTTTACTGTCTGTGCTATTACAGTTGTCCCATTTTTTTCTCCCCTTTATCCCCCTCTATCATGTACCCTTCTACCACCAGCATTCCCCCCCTCCCCCTTAGTTTTTGTCATTGGGTCGTATATGTAAGTTCTCTGGCTTCTCCATTTTCTGTATTGTTCTTAACCTCCTGCTGTCTATTTTGTACCTACCAATTATGCTTCTCATTCCCTGTACCTTTTTCCACATTCTCCCTTCCCCCTTCCCACTGACAACCCTCCATGTGATCTCCATTTCTGATTGTTCCTATTTTAGTTTTTTCCTTAATTTTTGTTCTTAGATTCAGTTGTTGATAATTGTGAGTTTGTTATTTTACTGATCGTATTTTTGACCGTATTTTTCTTGGATAAGTCCCTTTAACATTTCGTATCATAAAGGCTTGGTGAAGATGACCTCCTTTAACTTGACCTTATCTGGGAAGCACTGTATCTGCCCTTCCTTTCCAAACAATAGCTTTGCTGGATAGAGCAATCTTGGATGTAGGTCCTTGCCTTTCATGACTTCAAATACTTTCCAGTTCCTTCTTGTTTGCAAGGTGTCTTTTGAGAAATCAGCTGATGGTCTTATGGGAGCTCCTTTGTAGGTAACTGTCTCCTTTTCTCTTGCTGCTTTAAATTCTCTCCTTATCTTTAATCTTGGGAAATACAGTTATGAGGTACCTTGCTGTGTTTCTCCTTGGGTCCAATTTGTTTGGGAGACTCTGATCTTCCTGGACTCCCTGGAAGTCTGTTTCCTTGTCAGACTGGGGAAGTTCTCCATTATGTTTTTTCAAGATCGTTTTCTCCTTCTGGCTCCCCTATGATTTGGATATTGGAAAGCTTAAAGCTGTCCCTAAGGTTCCTAAGTCTTATCATTTTTTTTGAATTCTTGTTTCTTCATTTTGTTCTGGATGAATGTTTATATCTTCCTTATGCTTCAAATTGTTGATTTGAGTCCCAGTACCCTTCCTGTCACTGTTGGTTCCCTGTACATTTTCCTTTATTTCACTTTTGATGCCCTTCACTTCTTCCTCTATTTTGCAACCACACTCAACCATTTCTGTGAGCATCCTGATTACCAGTGTTTTGAACTCTGCATCTGGTAGGTTGTCTCTTCATCACTTTGTTCTGTTTTTGGAGCTTTGATCTGTTCTTTCATTTGGGCCTTTTTTTTTTTTTTTGTCTCTGTCACCTGTTACACAATAAGGGGTGGAGCCTTAGGAATTAGCCAGAGCTGGGCAACCCACATAGCTGTTTTTTGGTGCTATATGTTGGGGAGGAGGTCTGAGAGGGAACAATGCCACTTGCTTGGCTCTGTGCAGGTTTCTAGTCACTTCCCCTGCTACCCACAAGCAAGCTGGGCACTTCTGGTGCTGATTCCTAGGTGGGTGGGTTTGTGTATGTTCTAGGACCCTGTGGGTCTCTTCAACAAATCCTTCTGTTATGTTAGGAGTTTCTCCTGCCACCGCAGCCCGCCCCCAGGTTTTTAGGCTTTATTTCCATGTGCTGGGACCCTGGGTTATGCAGCCTGCCTCACTCCCCAGTTGGTCCTCCTGGTGCATCTACATGCAAGTGCGGGACCACCTGGTCTTCCAGCTGCCGCCCTGCTGCGAGTCCAGGTCTTCTCTGCCCCAGCTGCCCGTCTCCACCTGCCCCTACCAGCCTGGATGAATGTTTCTTCTTTAACTCCTCGGTTGTTGGACTTCCATTCAGTTTGATTTTCTGGCAGTCCTGGTTATTTTTTTTATTTTTTTTTTTTGGTTTTAAATTTGTTGTTGTCCTCCTCTTGGTGGTGTGAGGGGGAAAAGTAGATCTATCTATGCCTCCATCCTGGCCAGAAGTCCCATTATGAAAAGCTGTATATAAGCATCTTCTCTCTCTCTCTTTTGCTCTTTTTTCTTTTTTCCTATTTGGCAAGGATCTTTTTGTTGTTTGTTCAGCTCTAGTCTCATAACTACTTTGCTGAGGTGAATGCCCACATGAACAGTTGTACCATCAGCTTTCTACAGGCTACACTTGTTCAGTGTAAATGAAATAATTCTTCCTGTAAACCTGGATTACACTGCCAATTTGCTGCCTTTTATGCCGTCCTTACACAACCTGAATTTCCCTGTCATTTGGGATGGGCATGGATCAAAATGCTGTACTTCTGTCTCAGTTCTTTGGAACCAGGAGAAGACATAACCTTTCTGCAAATGTGGGAAGATGCACTGAAATGCCTTTTATGGTTCTTGCTCCGGTCAGAAGTAACAAAAGTACTGAACTATGTTTTGGGTGCTGGTGTTTCAGTTATGACTGCAGAACGGCAGTAAATGTTTTTACATTATCTCACCAGCAAGGTAACTAACTCATGTAGTTTGCCCCAAATATTCTGGTTTTAGGAGGTAAGTCCGGCATTCCAGGAATCCTCTGTCTCATGCAAACAAGGAAGACCAGAATCAGGCTACCTGAATTTGTTACCCATGTTGGTTTCCCAGGATTCCTTGCAGCCATAAATACTAGCCAAAGTCATATAGGAATTACTGCTTGGTTCCTGACTGGGTGGCTCAGTTGCTTAGAACATTGTCCCATATACCAAAAGGTTGAGGGTTTGTTCCTTGGCCAGGGCATATATGTAGGTTGTGGGCTTGATCCCCAGTTAGGGGACATATGGGAGGCAACCAATTGATGTTTCTCTCCTCTCTCAAATCAATAAACATAAGCTTGGATGAAGAGTAAAAAAAAATACTGCTTGGGTGAGGCTGTTAAAGAGGGCAAATTCATTAGACACATATCCCTTCATTTTGACCTTTGCCGTTTTTTTGCTTCTTGTCCAAAATTTACCTTACTTTTTTTGTTTTCTTGCAGACGTGAAGATCCAAGTCACATTCTAAGCATGGTGGATGAGGATAAGAAGCTCTTCCTGCCCAAGACTGTATAGTCCTATACTCCCTGTTATATGAACAATAAATGCCTAACTTTTGTTAGCTAATGTTTGTGACACTTCTGTTATGTGTTACCAAAATAAATGATTCAGAATTCATTTGAAAGAGAATGAAACAGATGCATCCAGACAATGGAATGATCATTTAGGAAAGGCTATTTACATACTGTATCAATTCCAACTATATAACATTCTGGAAAAGGTAAAAATGTATCGAGACAATAAAAGGATCAGTGGTTGTCTGGGTTTACTGGGGAGGGAGAAAACAATAGGGAGAGCACAGGAAGTTTTAGGGTGCTGCGGCTAACAGGACATACATTTGTCAAAACCCATTGAACATATGCCAGCAAGGTGAACTCTAACATAAACTAAGGACTTCAAATGATAATTGTCCAGGTAGGTTAATTAATTGCACCAGTCTGGTCAGGGATGTTGATGGTAGGGGAGGCTGTTTATGTGTTGAGGCAGGGGCCCTGTGGAAAAATGTACTTTCTGTTCAATGTCACTGTGAACTTGGAAGTGCTCTAAAAATTGTGTCCATTAAGTAAAACAACAATGAACTAAAATTCAAGATTTTAAGGAGATACTTCTGGACAGGATGATGTTAAATTTGAAAGTTTCTAAGACTTCAGTGTTTGAAGAGAAATAATTCATATGCCACTTTACTTTGTGATCTTTTGAGAACAGAAGCCCAAAGGGACTTCCACTTGATAGTCTTTTTCTAAGCAAGCAGATACAGACCAGCCCAGTTTCGATATGTGTGGTCCTGTGACGTATCCATGGCACAGTTACAGCACACTTACGTGTCTAAATGATTCTTCAGCAAGTCGTACACCAATACGTTGTTACACTGCTTTGCAAAATGCATTGCGCTATTTTGGTGCTTTGATAAAATATTGCAGTCAGCTCCACATTCAATGACAAGTCGTACAATGTCTGAATTTCCTCTTTTACAGGCCTACATCCAAAAAAAAAGAGTAATAATTACTTAACTGTAAATACCAGTCAGTGTTTATCCCTTTCTCCACACATGAACCAGCCTGGGAGCTCTTTGTGAAGACAGGGAAGGAATATTGGAAACACCCTGGATCTGGGTGTCCCCAAGTGTTAGGAAGTTACATAAACAGGAGGGGACCAGTCCAGAAATCTGTGTGCTACATTCAATTCCTTTTGTGACTGATTCCTTGGGAAAAGACTAACTTTGAAAAAGATACTTCTATCCCAAACTGGAAGAAACATCAGATCTTTCTAAGCTCTGCTCTCCACCCATGTCCTGTCTAGTGGCTGACACCTCAGCAGAGGCACCCAGGGGAGAAAGCCTGCCTCACTCTTAGAGGGGTAAGCCCTGGGATTTTAAAGCACCTCTTAGCATCACAAAATTTTAGAATTTTCCTAGTAACTGCTCTAAAGGAAACTAATAAGCACAGACAAGTCTGAATTTAGGAAATCTAGAGCAGCGCCAAGGTAAAGACCACTCTGGAGTATCTGTTTAGAATCTACCTGGTGATTTCTCAGTAAGATAAAGTTGTGCTATGTCTGCCCTAAATATATGGCAGTATTTCAAATATATGGTAGAAAACTTTCAAAAGTAGGACTCCTTAACAAAATAAACATTTCCAAGAGCCACAAATGAAACAGAAAGACAAGCAGTGAGCTGAGTTTAAACCCCAAGACTGGAAAAACACTGAAGTGGCAGGCAGGCCAGGCCTCTGGAATGAAGGATTAGGGAGCATACTCTGGGAGCCCATGGTTAACCTGGCCATGGACAACGCTCACTTACTGACTCATGAAAGAAGGCTGAAACAAACGGCAGGCAAATGCCAACTCAGCTCAACAGGTAAAAAAGCTGTGTCTAGGGAGGAAGGATTAGCACAGCCTGCACTTGGGGAACTAAACCACTACTAGGTACCAGGAACTGCTGTGTTCTAACAGCATTTTAGGTGAGGAACCTAAAACTGCCCCAGGAACAGAATAGATAGAAAATGCCGAATGGGCCCCTGTAGACACAAATGCAAAACTGCTAAACAGGAGTGCATGGGGAGGCTTTAACAACCTCCACTCAAAACTATCTGCATGGCCCTGGCCAGGTATGAGTTGGTTGAGCGCTGTCCTCATGTACCAAAGTTGTGGATTTGACCCCTGGTCAGGGCACATACAAGAATCAATCAGGAAATGCATGATTGTATGCAACAAATTGATGTTTCCCTCTCTCCTCCTTCCTCTCTCTAAAAAGGGCAATAACACAAACAAAAAATCTACCATTCTGAACACAGGAAGGACTCTAAAGCTCAAGAGATGCATTCACTAATAAAAACCAGAGTACAGCCTTCACTTCCCCATTCTTTAGGTTCTGGTGCATAGCCCACTCCAGCTCCCCTTGGCATAGTCCAATCACCTTCACAGCGACAGTGTAGCCACATAACACAGCCACCCTAAGGCTGTCTGGAAGTCACAGGACTTAGCCTGGTCTGGATTCTGATGTAATTCCTTAGCTTCATGCTTACTCCTCTCACATCACTCATCATAGTAAATGTTAAGCGGCTCTCTGATGGTCTGTCTTCTCCCACTCATCTGCATGTGCCAGTCCAGAGACTGCCCTGTTCCCCATCATGTCCCCAGGCCCCAACACGCACATCAGAGAGATGGAGGGAGATGAACGAACATGTGAGGCATTTACCTTCATTAAAGCAGTCTCACCATTGCTCTGTTGAACATTTACAAAAGCTCCTGCTTCCAAAAGAATAGCCACTGTAGTTAAAAAGTTCTATTAAAGAAAAAAAAAAACAAATTTAGTTCTCCAAATTCTCTCAAACTAAGATATTTTCAGATGTTTTGAAACTTTTAGTGATCATGGAAAAAATTCTACCCCAAGCACATAGGTGAACGCAGTTTCCTGTTTCTTTACTATGCAGGATCCTGGAAGAGCTGGGAGGTGCCAGCAACCTCAGTCTGAAGTTTAACCACTGCTTTCTACATAAGAACCACTAAATAGCAATCCTCTAGAAAGATATATATGGGAACACTTTAATTATACTCACCAAAAGGAACAATTACTTTCAACTGAAAAATATTTTTAAGAAGACCTAAGATTGAACTGATTTTAGTATATTAGAGGTTTGTTTTCAATACAAATCACTTCCAACTAAATAATCATTTTGAAAATTCAACTGCAAAATACTACTGTTGGTAAAAAAAAAAACATTCATGACAAGTCGTAGATGAACTGAAATATAAAATTTTTAAGTTGATTGTACAACTGATATTTTACCACAAAAACATTCTTAGTCCATGGGTCGGAATTCCTGTAAGACTATGAAATGACCCACCTTTTCAGCTGCATGAATGAGTGCAGTGGTCCCATTCTTCTGTCTGCCATTCACTTTGGCTCCCTTTCTGATGAGGAGCCTCAGCAGGTCATCCTGCCCTCCTGCTGCAGCCAGCATCAACAGTGTCATCCCACTTGAATCCTTTATTGGTTTTGTTTTAGGGAAAAAAGTCAATGGTTAGGAAGAAAAATTTTAGAATGAAGTTATTTCCATCTAGACTATTTCAATGTGAAATCATTAAAGTGCACTTATGTAAGCATCTACTTACAATAAAAAATAATCTTTAGTATTTTGTACGTTACCATAAAATTTTACAACTTCCATGTATTAAGTTCTAAAGGAATCTCAATACTTTGCATGAATCTTTTTTTTTAAATTTACTTTTCATATTAGAGAGAAGAGAAAGGAGGGAGAAAGAAGATGAGAAACATTGATGTGAGAAGTATCAACTGGTTGTCCCCCTCCCACCCTGTACACACCTCAGGGGACCAAACCTGTAACCCAGGCATGTGCCCTGACCCAGAATTGAACTGGTGACCTTTGGTTCTTGTGATGAGGCTCATCCAACTGAGCTACATCAGCCAGAGCATGAATCCGTTTTTTTTTTTTAGTAGTTCATTTTTTATTGTATTTTTTTTCTACTGCCATTTATCCTCCCAATACGCTTTTCCACCTCCACTCACCCCCTTCCCCTGCAATCACCACACTGTTGTCCGTGTCCATGAGTTTTGTTTCCTTTTTGCTCTAACCCCCCACCCCTCCAAGTTCCCCCCAGAGCTGTCATCTGCTCTCTATAAGGCTGTCTCTCTTTTGCTTGTTAGTTCAGTTTGTCTATTAGATTCTACATATGAGTGAAATCATATGGTATTTGTCTTTCTCTGACTGGCTTATTTCACTTAGCATAATGTTCTCCAGGTCCATCCATGCTGTCGTGAGGGGTAAAATTTTCTTCTTTTTTTTTTATGGAAACGTAGTATTCCACTGTGTAAATGTACCACTGTTGTTTTATCCACTTATATATTGTTGGGTACTTGGCTGCTTCCAAATGTTGGCTATTATAAATAACACTGCAGTGACCACAGGGGTGTATATATGCTTTCGAATTAGTGTTTTGGGTTTATTTGGGTAAATTCCCAGAACCGAAATTGCTGGGTCATAAGGCAGATCCATTCTTTATTTCATTTTTAATTTTTTGAGGTATCTCCATATTGCTTTCACAGTGGCCACACCAGTCTGCATTCCCACCAACAGTGCAAAAGGGTTCCCCTCTCTTCATATTCTCACTAGCACTTGCTGTTTGATTTACTGATGACAGCTATTCTTGACAGGTGTGAAGTGCTATCTCATTGTGGTTTTAATTTGCATTTCTCTGATTAATGATATTGAGCATCTTTTCATGTGTCTATTGGCCATCTGGATGTGCACAAATCTTGGTGCCTTCTAAATGGCAAAGGCACTTATCTCAAATTTCAGGTCTGAAAGTTTCCTTGTGTTCTATGTAAAACTCCTATGTTGATTATATTAACCTAGTTGCCCAAAGATGTAACGCTAGAAATAACCACTGGTCACCCAAGCCCACTGTATTGAGGACACAATGAAATGAATGCTATCTAGGTTAGACAGCTGTTGCTAACTACTGGGAAGTAAGAGTTTGATTGCTCTAAGGATAGGGAAGATTCTTATAAGTAGGAAACAGGATGCTGATATTCAAAATTCAGTAAAAAAAACCCCTGCTTGAAATAAGATACAATTACATAAAGTTGATGAATAATAAAAAAGTAACTACTAGCTGAAATATATCTCATTACTAGTTGAAACAAACTTGAGAAAAACAATTAATTAAATATCATTTGATATAACTACATTCCAATATTATGAGTTAATCTGGTTATAACCTGAAAGTTTAGCAGAATTTACTGGTATGAGTAATCTGAGGGAACACAAATGTAAGAAAAATTATTCCTAGCAGTAGCACTTTAGATGAACTCAAGAGGATCCACTCAAACTGAAGTAGGAGTATAACTACTTTCTCTCATTTGGAAAAATCTAACTTTAGAAAGTTTCTCTGCAGGTATCTGCAAAAGAGCTGGATGGGGTGGTGACTGGGGGGCCATAGTCAGGGTGGTAGGAGGAGGAGGTGGCTTTGAATTCCTATAAATGGCATCTAAATGGCACCAAAGTAGTACCCTAAGCCTAAATTCCAGGAGGGTGAGCAAGTGCTGTGCTTTTAGGGGCCTCCTCTTTATGAGGCAAAATGGGGGAATGTTGCCATAAAGGACATTTATATATTACAGTGGCTAGAACAAAAATTGGGACCTATGAGTTCCAGAAAGCAAAGTACTGAAGTTCATGGACAACAATCTGCAAAAACAGTGAGAACTTCAAAAAGATAGGAACATATGCAGGGGGGGAAATGAGAGGGGCTGACCCAGGTAAGAAGACAGCTTGGTCTGTAATAAAAAAATGTTTAAGTGAAAACAACAAAAACCAACAGAAAACACACTTGGAAATGTAGATGGTGGCAGTACCAGTGAGACACATCAGCCTCTTTGCAAGATGTTACTTCTGAAAATGAGGAAGCATTTATGAACAGAGCTGAAGTTAAAGCTGATTCCTGAAGAACTAAAACTCTGGCTTGTTGATGACTGTGACTTAATTACCTGGCAGAAATAGCTCTTTCATTTTCCTGCCAACAAGAATGTGGATTCCATTCTGGAAGATTATGCAAATTACAAGGCAACAAAAACAAGAAAGATTAAGCTGCTAATGAAGTGTCAGGGATAAGGGAATACTTCAATGTAATGTTGGGCACTCAGCTACAAAACAAATTTGAGACAGCAGTATGCTGAAATCCTCAATCCTCATGTATCTCCCTGAAGTACCCATGTCTCAAGTGTATAGAGCCCCCACATGTCTTGAGAGTATTTATATAGACTGGAGCAATGTTAACCTATACAACTCAGAATAAGAGGAGTCTTGCTTTAATTACTGAGTAATTTTTTGATTTCCTAAAATACCTTGCAAAGAACTGTGCAAATATGTTTGATGCCCCAGTAATTACAAAGTGGCTCCTCCTGTGTACCACTGGAAAGCTGTGTAAGGTACTTGCTTACACTATGTTTGGTGTAACATTTCTAGTCTTAGTCCTTCTGTTGTACAAATGATGTACTTTGATTTTCTTTACTGTTAGTTATAACTGAAGTGATGTTTGGTTTCTGTTTACTTTTAGATAGAGAGTATAAAAGGGGTTTTGGCTCCTTCTTTCTTCTTCTTCCTCTCTAAATGGCTACCAGTGTATTGATGGACAACGGAGAGACATGCTGTAGAGTGTTCTAGTGCCTATTTAACAAAGATGCTTTGGATACTAGTGGTTCTATTTCTTTGACACTGTGTACTTTTATAATATGTATTTATGCTATAAGACAAAATGCTAATTCCTAGTTCCAAAGGTTTAATTCAGTGTATATAAATGAGGATACTCATCCACTTGTGCTCCTTTTTTAAAATTGGTAAAGAGCCCATCCTTTGTAAGTCATCCACATTGTCCCCCAGGCATTTTATCTTTGTTAAGAATGCTAGAGTGGTGGCTTGTTTTATGGTTTTTGTATTTATGTCTAATGCGCATTTTAACATGATAGACACAATGCATTGTGTAGCTACAATTTTCTGGAAAAGTCAATCTTTTAGGAATTGTTTTTCAAATCTTCAATAAATCTATTCCTTGACTAAAAAAAAGAAACAAAGTTCCCTGCAGCCACTGTGCTTTTAATAAAGAGCACAACATGCATAAAAACTTAATGCAGCTAAAAAAATGATAAAAACTTAAGCAGCTAAAAAAAAAATGGGTATAGGAGGTAAAGGCTATCCATTGGATACTACCACAAAGAAATCAAACCTGACACCGAGACAATCCCACTCAGACCAAGAACAGAACAGATCCCATTTAACACCGTTGTTCAAAATGCCACCCATTTCACAAGACTAGAGAAAGAAATATTACTGGAAAAAAGAGAAACAAAATAGCTATTCTACGAAGATGATCAAACTCTCTATTTAGAATATCCAAGGCAAGTAACTTAAAAATTATCATGGTACGAGAATTTCCTGTAAGTGACTGGAGACATACACACACACAACACACAGAGAAATCAATACCTTTACCACACACATACAATACCCAGTTAGAAAACAAAACGTGGGACTTGAGGCCAAGATGGAGGTGTAAGTAAATTTGCTTCACTTCCTTGCAGAACCAAAAGAAAGACAACAACCAAGTTAAAAACAAAAACAACCAGAACTTCCAGAAAACCGTATGGATGTCTGAAAACCAAGGAATTAAACAAGAAACATTCACCCAGACTGATAAGAAGGGTGGAGACAGGCAGCAGGGGTAAAGAGGATGCGTGGCAATGCGGCAGTAGCTGGCGAACCAGGTAGTCCCACATGCATTGAAGAACCAGGAGGAACAAATGGGGAGAGAGACATATAGAGCAACCCAGTCTTCCAGCATGGGAAACTAAAACCTCAAAACCTCTGGTGGTAAATATCTCTGGGGGTTGTGGGGTGGGAAAAACTCCCAGCCTCACAGGAGAGTTTGCTGGAGAGACCAATGGGGACCTAGAAAGTACACAAACCCACTCACACAGGAATCAGCACAAGGGCCCAATTTGCTTCTGGGTAGCAAGGGAAGTGACTGAAAGCTGGCCAGGAGCTGAGCAAGTGGTATTGTTCCCTCTCAGACCCCTCCCCCACATAAGCTCCACCCTTTACAAAGTCAATAGGTACTCTGAAAAAAAGGTCCAAAGGAAAGAACAGTTCAAAAGTCCAGAAAAAGAACTAAGCGATGAGGAGATAGCCAACCTATCAAATGCAGAGCTCAGAACATTGGTAATCAGGATGCTCACAGAAATGATTGAGTATGGTTGCAAAATAGAGGAAAAAGTGAAGACTATGCAAAGTGAAATAAAGAAAACTATACAGGGAACTGCCCTGGCTGGTAGCTCAGTGGATTGAGCGCGGGCTGCGAACCAGGCATCGCAGGTTCGATTCCCAGTCAGGGCACATGCCTAGGTTGCAGGCCATGGCCCCCAGCAACCGCACATTGATATTTCTGTCTCTTTCTCTCTCCCTTCCTTCTCTAAAGAGAAATAAATAAAATCTTTAAAAAAAAAAGAAAAATATACAGGGAACTAAAAGTGAAGGGATGGAAATCGGGACTCAAATCAACAATTTGGAGCATAAAGAAATAATAAACATTCAACCAGAACAGAATGAAGAAACAAGAATTCCAAAAAATGAGGAGAGGCTTAGGAACCTCTGGGACAACTTTAAACATTCCAACATCTGAATCACAGGGGTGCCAGAAGGACAAGAGGAAAAAAGCAAGAAACTGAAAACTTATTGGAAAAAATAATGAAGGAAAACTTTCCCAATGTGGTGAAGGAAATAAACTTCCAGGAAGTCCAGGAAGTCCAGGAAGCTTAGAGTCCCAAAGAAGTTGGACCCAAGGAAGAATACACCAAGACACATCATAATTAAATTACCTAAGATTAAAGATAAGGAGAGAACCTTAAAAGCAGCAAGAGGAAAGGAGAGGGTTATCTACAAAGGAGTTCCTCTAAGACCATCAGCTGATTTCTCATAAGAAATCTTACAGGCAAGAAGGGGCTAGAAAGAAGTATTCCAAGTCATGAAAGGCAAGGACCCACATCCAAGATTGCTCTATCCAGCAAAGCTATCATTTGGAATAGAAGGGCAGATAACATGCTTCCCAGATAAGGTATAGTTAAAGGAGTTCATCATCACCTGGCCCTTATTATATGAAATGTTAAAGGGACTTATCTAAAAAAAAGAAGATCAAAACTATGAATAGTAAAATGACAATAAACTCAAAACTATCAAAAACTGAAACTAAAAAACAAAAACAAACCAAGCAAACAACCAGAACAGGAATAGAATTACAGAAATGGAGATCACATAGAGGATTGTCAGTGGGCAGGGAGATGGGAGAGAATGGGAAAAAGGTATAGGAAATAAGAAGCATAAATGGCCCTGGCTGGTATAGCTCAATGGACTGAGCATGGGCATTAAACCAAAAGGTTGCTGCATCAATTTCCAGTCAGGGCACATGCCTGGGTTGTGGGCCAGGTCCCTGTTAGGGGGTGCACTAGAGACAACCACACATGGATGTTTCTCTCCCCCTCTTTCTCCTCTTCCCCTGTCTCTAAAAATAAATACATAAAAAAATCTTAAAAAGAAAAAAGGATGCATAAATGGTAGCTACAAAACAGACAGGGGGAGGTTAAGGACAGTACAGAAATGGAGAAGGCAAAGACCTTATATGTATGGCCCATGGACATGAACTAAGAGGGGGAATGCTGGTAGGAGGGGGTTGGAGGAGGATAAAGTGGAGAAAATGGGACAACTTTAATAGCATAATCAATAAAATATACTTATAAAAAAAGAAAACAAAATGTGGGAGGAATAAAATTCTGAAGATCACAGTAAGATTATTAAAAATTTTAACCCATTTAGGAATACACCTAAAATAAATGTACAGTAACTATGAAAAACTCAAAAAAGTTTGCTTAAAGGAATAAATGAAGAGTTATCATTTTCCTAGATGAAAGACTCAAAAATATAAAAAAAGTCAACTCCTAGCCCAATTGACCTATACATTTCATGCAATTTTATTCAAAATCTCAGTAGTTTTTTGAAGTGTAATCCCAAAAGATTAAATCTAAAAAACCCACAACTACAGCAAAGAAAACATAAAAATCTTTTCTAAGCAATAAAAGATGAAAAAAACAAACCCTAAAACCCATGAAAAAAGGGTTAATATGCTTCCATATAAAAACCCTTCATGAATCAGTATAAAACTCCCAGCAACAAGAGGAAGTCAGGCAGTTGCTGTTAATAGGCAGCTCCACTGAAATGCAGTGACACAGAACACCCTCACAGAAGCAGCATTAAACCACAGACCACGTCAGAACCACAGCTAAACCAGTCACTGTAGGGGTGGGAATCCTGGGGCTAAAATTATCTACATTCTACACTTCCACAATGTTTGAATTTTATAAGGTGAAATGCATAACTTTTGGAGTTATAATAAAGTAACTATTTTAAAAGAGCTATTTTTCATCTTCCTTTCAAGAGATTTTATAAAGATATATTTACTACCTCTTGGTCCAGGTTATATTCTTCATTTGAATTAAGTGCAATCTTCACAGTAATATAATCCCCATTTTTCACAGCATCCCTCAACAAAGCTAAAATGAAAGAAAAAATAAATTAGGTTTCTGTATTTGGATTCATGAAAAGTATCCCCATAACTCCCAAACTACTTACTACTAGGAATGGCAACTGTTTCAGAAAAGTTCTCATCTTCCCCATCTAGATGCTTTTGAAAATCTTCTAATTTCATCCATTCCAGTTGCAGGTCCATGCCCAGACTCAAAATCTGCTGTCTGCTGTCTGTAACATGAAAGGGCCTTAAGATACTTTTTTTCTGTACTATAAAAGAATACAATGCCATTTTATTAAATTGGTGGTGCCTTAACCAAAATATTATATATACCTTTAACATAGGTCAGTATGTCATTGAGTCTTTAATGAAATTTCTGATTTTCTTTGGAAGTAACATGAAGTTACAGTGTTTTACATTTAGAAGTTAGAATGTTTGGGCCCTGGCTGGCATAGCTCAGTGGATTGAGCGCGGGCTGCGAATCAAAGCATCGCAGGTTCGATTCCCAGTCAGGGCACATGCCTGGGTTGCAAACCATGGCCCCCAGCAACCGCACATTGATGTTTCTCTCTCTCTTTTTCTCCCTCCCTTCTCTCTCTAAAAAAATAAATAAATAAACTCTTTAAAAAAAAAAAGAAGTTAGAGTGTTTGAAAGGTATAAAGATAAATTGGTAAACTACAACTATAAAGTAGTAAAATATTAATTTTAAGTATAAGATTAAATAGATCAAAGGACAAGAGACACCACAGGCATTCTGTTAGAGGAATTGCTAACATTTATTTCTTTGGCCATTCTTCTTGGACATACATTGCTTTCAATCCTTTATGTAGGTAAAGTCACTGGAAATGTGTAAATCAGACCTGTGTGTAAATAAGAGTAATTGCCTATTGATCCTTCCAGATTCTGCTCCTTCTTGCTAAAAGCCCTGTCTAGTGAGAGCCTCCAGGCTCCTCTCCTTGCACTGTGAAGCAAATGCTGGTCTCAGCTGTCTGATCCATGTACTCATCGACACTAGGATGGATGGCTCATCCCCTATGGACAGTGTAGTAAATGAGCCTTGAGCATAACTCACTTGGGAGTAATTAAGTATGACTGAAAAGTACAAACGTTTGATGGTAAGAACTAAAGAATTTTCACCTAAAACCAATTCCACAAACGGATGTTAGGGAGTTAACCTTGTTGGGGCCAGTGCTGCTCTTTTGTTACCTCTGAGCATGGAGACCTAACAGCACAGCCTCTGAGTGACACACCTGGATCTGGACACCAGCTTCCTGTTAGCTGTGTGACTTGGAGTAAGTATCAGAACTCATGCTACCTCCCTCTCTAAATATAAAAACTAGCTAATACTCCATAAATAGTCTGTAACTATTTCCAAGAATCAATGCATTTAGATCCACAGTGACCACCATACAATGACCTATGAGGAGATATAGGTCACTGACGAGGAAAGTGAGGAGCCACATTTGTGCTAAGCCATATCTGAGTCCACAGTGCACTCAACTGAGTCCCACAACTGTGGGACACCACAGACCACAGGAAGCACAGGGGAGCAGGACAGAAGAGAAGCCATATAAAATGAGACATGCCATCTCATTTACAGGGCTATTAAGTAAGAGAACACATAGAGCTACAAATGAAGTGCTCACCCTCCCCATGAAACTGTGTCTACGTGGTTTTTAGATCCGCAAGGGCCTCACTTTGAGGTGTCCGAACCACTAATGAACCTTCTCCATGCCCAGTTAAGTGCTGTATCTCCTGTTGTAGTTTTATAGTTGCCTACATAGGAAACAGGATTCTTGCTGATGCCTGGTACACAGATAGTCTAGTTGGGCAACCTGTCTACAAGGGCTACAGCTGTTATTCAACCTAACATGACACTGTCTGCACGGAAACAGAGAGGGCCTGCAGTAGTCAGTGGGCTGAACTCAGTATTTGGGTGGTGATCAGTTAGGAGCCCTGGCAATGAACCCTTTTCACTGACAGGTGGACTGTTCTAAAGGGACTGACTCTATGGCTTGTACAGCAGGAAGCCACAGGGTGGATGATCATGAGAGAGCCCTTGTGGGGTCAGGACAAGCGGAGACATTTGGGTCTGCCTGCAAGAGTCTGAGGCTCCTCACTTTTCTGCATCCCAGCTCATGAGGTGTTGACACCCCCTGGCAATTAGAAAGGTGAGGACCTGGCCAGGCAGAAGCCCATGCGGTTGACCCATCAGTAGATACAGTGGATGGATGTATAGAGGCAGTCACCATAGTGCCTGGGTAAACAGAGTATTGCCCCTAATATATCATGACTTGTTAATGTAGTGAGAGCATTAAACAATGACCACCCATCAGAACTGGTAAGGGATTGGCACATTCACTGTATCAGCCCCTTCCTCCAAGTGAGGGGTCTAAATAATGTGACACAACATCTGGCCAAACCCAAGCTGTCCTCTGTTGCTACGCAAACCAGAATGACACCATCAGAAGTTTAGAGAAACTGAGCGCCATCTACAGATACCCTTGTTGAGCAGACAGTAATTGGGGTCACATTTCAGAGGTCTTGATGTGGAGCCTGGGCGAAAGAATGTGACACTGAGTGGAGGCCCCTACCCCCTATGGGGGATGATAGAAAGGAAGGAGTATGAAAGCCATAGATTACATTACTAACAGGTAAGCCATGTTGGCCAGGTAGTCTAAAGTACTGTCCCAGGCTTTCGTATACCAGACTAAGGACCCATGTTGAGGCATCTAGTGCCATAAAGGGACGTTAAGTCACAAGAGGCAGCCACTGCCCTGACTCCCACTGTGGAGCAATGTGCTGTGCTGCTGAGAACATGGAGCTCCTCATGCCTGGGAGAGGGGTCATCTATAGGAATTTGCAATGGGATGTGTCACTGGGATGAGCATGGCTTAGCACCCCAGGGTGAGGGGAACTACACAATCTGCACTGGACCAGCTGTCCTGCTAGCTGGACCAGTGGAAAAACACCTGGAATAAAACATGTATCACTGAGAGAAAGTATGAGCTTGGGGGTCCTGGTCTGGCACGTCCCACTCCCAGTCCCTCTCATGCAGTATCCCCTACCACATGGATGGTATGCATGTCCTGGTCAGGTTCCTAAAGCTGCCAATCCCCCTCTCCTCTCTGCTGGTGTGATCATTTGGCCACCATCTTTGTTCCCTCTGTTGTCCTGGAGGACATTACAACACATAAGGAAGCCCTTAATAAGCTCACCCAGCAAGCCTTGAGTGTCAGCTGACAAAGCCTGTCTCCACTGAACACTGAAGTGTCCCTAGTGAGAAAGCTGTCCTCCAAAATAGGATGGCCCTGGACATGATCACTGCCTCACAGGGGGACACCTGTATCATTATCCAAAGAGAATGTGTTTATACCATGAGCCTGCTAATGTATCATCTTCATTAATTCACATGAAGACACATGTGAATGCCCTCAATGATCTGACCCCCAGCCTAGTGGACATAATAAATCATTGGTTCTGATCTTGGGGCACTTGGTGGAAAAAGTTATTTCTTACTTTGGCAATCATTACCTTAACCTGTTTCCTCTTGCATGTGCCTGTACTGATGTTGTGGTGTTTGCCTTGAATGCAGCCAGAGCCACCAAATAAGCCACCTCCATGCTGACCACCAAGGACATATCATAGAAGAGGAGGCAAGTGACATTGTAAGGGTCAGTCATAAGGGGTGGAGTGCTGGAGAAGGTCATCCAAAGGACCTGATCACCAGTTGAGCAGTGAGCCAGATGCAGGCAACTGGAGACTCCTCAACCCTCCCTGTATGTCCTGACCACCATTCCCACAGCAGGAGTCACTTCAGGGATGCAGCCTTGAGAGAGGAAGGAACTGTGAGACCACCTGGACTGAACCCCATTAAGTCTTTCCTATAAAGTTTTAAGACTTGGCAGGCAGTGTGGAGATCTACTTGTCTAGTGGTCACCCAAGATGACCTTGTATGTATGTTCCCTTGCTTATTCCACCTACCACCTGCCAATCTGGGGAGGCTGCATTTTCACAGTCTCTCCTCGTCCTCAGTGTAACAGGTGGTTCATATATCACCAGGAACGCCCAAGAATGCACACCAACATCTACTGCATGTGTCCTCATTGTCTAGCATCCCAAACAGCAGAGCTGCTATTTGGCACCTGGCCTCTAGGCAACCCACTTCCTCCTCCCCGTTGTCTATTGGTCCTAACAATTGTCCCAGTTTCCTGCAAGCTCAGCAGTGCACCAGAAAGCATGATTTACCTGACGCCCAGGGCCTAGTAGTTTTGTATTAACAGGGACACCCAGACGATCCATTCTGCCACATATTCAGAAACATGTGAAGCTTTACAATTATTGTAAATAATTATCTTTAACTGTTTTAAGATTCACAAACTACATGGTCTTATCACATTAACTGTGTTTATTCTGTCCTAGTTATAAATATGTATATATGCACTCTTTCTTCTAGCCTCTCATACCCAGTGTGCCCAATATCCCACACATGGCCCTCCTTCTGCAGCTGATCCCAACAACCTTGGGAGGACATTTACAACCATCTTATTTAGGAAATGTCATTTACTACCAAGTTAAAAGGACAGGATACAAGTAAGTATGCATTTGATAATTTCCTGAAAGATGCCATTAAGATATATAACCAGGCCACTTGGCAAGAGTAGAAAAAGTAGAATACCCGAAATCTTTAAAATTTTTAAATGTGCTGAGAACATCACAAGGACTCAAAATATTTGTGTGGTCAATTTAGAAACCACAGAATGACCTAAGTCTTCAATATAAAAAGCTGTTTATCCAGGAGATTCAAACAAAACTGTCTACATCATTATTTTCTGATCTGGAGTTACAGTGGAAAAAAATGAGGCGAGTGAAATCATACTGCTCTGAAAAATATGCAAACTGACTGCAAACACACTCACCAGAATTCTCAGTTGTTTGGTATGCACCATCGAGGACTTCTTGATCACCCTCTGCAGCTATATATGCCCATGTGTCAGTCTCATCTCTTGTGTTTCTCCTTTCTTTAAGTACCTGTTTGTTTTCTTTAGCTTTGTGATCTTCTGTGAAATTACAATCCAGTGGTATTTCTTCTCTTTTCTGATTATTCTCAGGAAAATCATTTTTTTCTTCTGGAGTTAATTTAAAGAAATCAAATGCATTTCTAATTTCCTTAAATGCTGGTGAAAAAAATAAAATCAATAAGGACTAGGAACCACAACTTTCTTTTATAATCAAAAGAAAATCTGGGTTTGTATTAAAGAAACAGGTATTTCCTTTCTTTTTCTTTTTTTAATTCTTACCCAAGGATAGGTTTTCATTGATTTTAGAGTGAGGAATGAAGAGAGAAAACAGAAACATCAATGTGAGAGAAAAACATTGACTGGTTGCTTCCCGTATGTGCCCCAACTGGGGTCTGAACTCACAGCCTTTTGGTGTTCAGGATGATATTCTAATCAACTCAGCTGCCCAGCCAGGGCATCGTTTAAAAAAATTTTTTTTTGATGTTTTTTAAAGAGTGAGCAATGGAAAGTAGGAGGTAAGGGGGAATAGGGGGAGAGGACGGGGGCGGGGGAGAGGTGGTGGGGGGAGAGATTTGTTGTTCACTTACTTATGTATTCGTCGGTTGATTCTTCTATGTGCTGTGGCCTAGCATTGAACGCACAACCTTAGCGTAATGGGACGACACTCTAATCAGCTGAGCTACCTGGCTAGGGCCCAAAACAGACATATTCTTAACTTTTACTAATATCTTCTGTGGTTGTAAAGCATGACCAGATCAAAGCCATTAAGAGGTTTCAACTGATCTTTCTACTGGCTGCTCTATGTTTCGAAAGGGTTTCTGTCCAACAGGAATGGCTGGTTTTAGTGTTGTGAATCACTCTTAGTTTCCACAAAGGCCTACTGAAGACAGAACAATCCCAGACATGCCATCAGCTGTTCTACTAGGACAACTGCCTACAACTGTATCCTGAAGCTAATCTTGTACACAAACGATCTTGGGGGTGAGTGGAAAATAGTAGGGTACCATGCCAGCATGCTGACAGTGTACCTAGTAAACTACCTGATGCCTGTGAAACTCCATTGAAAGTGAAAAGAAGACTGGCTAAGTACTAGATCTGATATAATAACCCCAAAAAGCGGCAGAACAAAACATAATTAGAAAGAACTCTATTATAAACTCTGGGTACATAGCTAGTTGGTGTTATTAGCAGAGGATACTGAAAATCAGACTCCCAGTAAATATCCTTATAAATAGAATAAGCAGTTGTTTAAGATAGTATGTTCACAGTAAAAATGTACCCGACCGTGACAAATAAGACAGTAGGGGGAAGAAAGAATTAATTACCTACTCCAATTATACAATATTTGGAATCTTCAATCACTCTTCGAAGGAGTAATTATAGTCACTTAGTGCATGATCCATGAAAACAATAATTGATTTTTACTAGCTTCCATTCTGCAGCTACTTAGTCTCAAGTCCTAGACAAGGCATAGAAGCAGAAAATGCTACCTCAGTTACATATAGCTTTTGGGAGAAAACCTGGAGGAACAATCTATCTTTAGGAATTACTGCTTCCATGCAAACATGTTTTTCAAGTACTGCTAGTGCATAAACTAAAATACCCTCTGTGATGAGGAATATTCTATAAATTACTTGTCCCAGTAGTGCAAGTGTTATGGTATATATTAACATAATCCAAAATGAATATTCAACATTATGTTTGTGTAACTGACACAGAGCTAAAAACAATAAACACAGTAAAACAGTAGTTTGCCTCATCTGGTATTTACCATTCACTTTTCTGCCACAGCTAACTTCCTGTTTCTAATTATTCCATCGTCATAAACAAAAGGAGAGAAAACAAGGTGAGCAGGAGGAGAAAATGTTACAAACAACTGAAGCTGTTGTATAATAAACTAAGATAGCCCTGGCTGGTGTGGCTCAGTGGATTGAGCACTGGCCTGTGAACAGAAAGGTTGACAGTTCGATTCCCAGTCAGGGCACATGCCTGGGTTGTGGGCCAGGTCCTCAGTAGGGGGCATGTGAGAAGCAATGGATCAATGTTTCTCTCTCTTTCTCCCTTCTCCTCTCTCTAAAAATAAATAAGACCTTTCTTTTAAAAAATTAAAATAAAATAACTGGTGAAACAAAAGCAGCCCATGGTTCTAAACTGCCCAGTGAATGAAGTTTTTAAGTTTTGAGGTGTTCCTGGAACTTTTTAGTCAATAGGGTGACATAGGTAAACATGGTACTTGAATCCTCCCATAAACACAGCAAATTTATAGTTACACTACAGAACAACCATCATTCAGAACTGCCTGAAATCTAGCTAAGTGGAAGTCCAACAAATAGGGCTTTAAAGCAGCAGCCACATCAAGACTGCTAGGAGGGGAGGAAATGCAGAACAGACTGATCCCATACCTACATGTAGTAGATAAAAATTGAGAGGAATTATCTCAATTGCAGAGGCCCCCACTTGAGGAGGAAGAGGTCCCAGCCCCATACCAAGTCTCTCAGTCTAGGGTTCTACAATCAGGAAGAGAAGTCTTCACAAGTTCTGTCTATAAAAACCAGCAGGAATTGTGGCTGAGTGAGATGAAGGACTTCTGGAGTCCCAGATTTTCCTCTTACTGGGCCTGTGCATGGACTTACATGGTATCACTTGCTTTGAGCTCTGGCACTGGGGGAGCAGCTTGAAAGGCACTAGGGACATATGGGGAAGAACTGCATTGTCTGACATCAAAGTGAGAGGTGAGGGAGGCAACTTTCTGACACAGAAGTGCTGGCAGAGGCCACTGTTCCTGTTCTTAGCCCTGCCCCCACAGAGATGGCAGACGGGCACCATACCTGAGTCTTCATTAACCTAAGCAACACTCACTATGCCCTGGTGATTACCTGAGACCCCTCCCCACCCAACTTGCAAGATCCACCCAAGCTATTTCTAGTGGCTTTCCATACAAATGGTCTCTCTTGCCTCATTCTTTAGACTTCCCTAAAATCCCTCAAACAAGTACCATCTGGCCTCTGCGTACCCCATACCTCTTGCTAAGTGACCCCAGGTATGGCACTGTATCAGCAGGCCATGGTTCACACCTTGGCCTTTCATGGGTACCTGCAAGCCCAGTAAAAGTAGCAACCATATGAAGATCACTCTGTAGCTCAAGCCAGGTAGCCCCAGGCAGGTCATAGGCGGTGGCTTATCTTGCATCTCCTGGGAGGCCCCAGAGTCAGTGCACTCAGTGGACAGCTTCATACCACACTGCATTACAACCCTACCACTTCCATGAATGACACACTCAAGGAACAGACTCAGGGTGCACCAAAGCCCCACTGATGCAAGTCCTGCTCCATACGGTTGACTTTGGCATAGCAACTCCTCTCTGTGGTTGCATGTGGTTCTCGCAGCAAATCAGCCTGGGGGTCAATCCCTCCCAGTGACTCCAGTAGTAATCAAGGCTCAACTACAATAGACAGTGCACACAGCCCACACAGGGGCACACCCGTAACATCCAGCTTGGGTGATTGGCACACCAGCTGGATGCCAACATCCGAGCTGGATGTGCCATTAGCTTTACAGGACACATACTACATACACAAGGCCACTCTTCCAAGTCTGGGAGACACAGCAGCCCTAAATAACACATAGGAACAAACACAGAAAAACAACCAAAACACAGAAACGAAGAAACAGGTCCCAATGAAAGTATAGGAGAAATCTCCAGAAAAACAACTAAATGAAAAGGAGACAAGCAATCTACTAGATGCAGAGTTCAAAATGCTGGCTGTAAGGCTGCTGAAGGAACTTAGTGAGGACCTCAAGAGCATAAAAAAATATTCTAGTAAGGGACTTCCAGCCAAGATGGAGGTGTAGGTACACTGTGCCTCCTCGCAGAACCAAAAGAAGGACAACAAACATAAAAACAAAAAACAGCCAGAACTGACAGAAAATTAAACTGTATGGAAGTCCGACAACCAAGGAATTAAAGGAGAAACATACACTCAGACTAGTAAAGGGGCGGAGATGGGCAGCAAAGACAGAAAGAATGTATGGCAAGGTGGTAGCTGGAGGACCGGGTGGGCAAGGTAGCAAAGTGCAGAGTTCCTTTCTGATCCCTCCCCCACAGACAGTGCCACAACACAGTGATGTGTGTTGACCCGCCCTGGCAAATACCTAAGGCTGTGCTCCTGACAATGTAAAAGGTGCACTGAGACAAAGAAATATGGCCCAAATGAAAGAACAGATCAAAACTCCAAAAATAAGCCCTCAATGGTATGGCACAGTGGATTGAGTGCTGGCCTGCGAACCAAAGGGTCACCAGTTTGATTCCCAGTCAGGGCACATGCCTGAGTTGCAGGCGAGGTCCTCCAGTAGGGGACATGTGAGGGGCAACCACACATTGATGTTTCTCCCCTTTTCTTTCTCCTTCCCTTAGCCTCGCTCTAAAAATAAATAAATAAAATCTTTAAAAAAAAAGTAGAGGTAAAACTCCCAAAAATACAACTAAGTGATGTAAGATAGACAAGTTATTAGATGCAGAGTTCAAAATAGTGGTAATCAGGATACTCACAGAAATGATTGAGTATGGACTCAAAATAGAGGAATAAGTGAAAGCTATTCAAAGTAAAATAAAGAAAAATATACAGGGAAACAACAGTGATGGGAAGGAAAGTGGGACTCAAATCAACAATTTGGAGCATAAGGAAGAAATAAACATTCAACCAGAATAGAATGAAGAAAACAGGAATTCCAAAAAATGAGGAGGCTTAGGAACCTCTGGGACAACTTTAAACATTCCAACATCCGAATCACAGGGGTGCCAAAAGAACAAAAGGAATAGAAAGAAATTGAAAATTTATTTGAACAAATAATGAAGGAAAACTTCCCCAATCTGGCAAAGAACATAGACTTCCAGTAAGTCCAGGAAGCTTATTAGAGTCCCAAAGAAGTTGGACCCAAGGAAGCACACACCAAGACACATCATAATTAAATTACCCAAGATTAAAGATGAGGAGAGAATCTTAAAAGCCGCAAGAGGAAAGGAGAGGGTTACCTACAAAGGAGTTCCTCTAAGACTGTCAGCTGATTTCTCAAAAGAAATCTTACAGGCAAGAATGGACTGGAAAGAAGTATTCCAAGTCATGAAAGGCAAGGACTTACACATCCAAGATTACTCTATCCAGCAAAGCTATTGTTTGGAATAGAAGGGCAGATAAAGTGCTTCTAAAAGAAGGTATAGTTAAAGGAGTTCATCATCATCAGGCCCTTATTATATTTAATGTTAAAGGGACTCACCTAAGAAAAAGATAAAAAATACGTGTAGTAAAAAAAAATATATGGACAGTAAAATAACAATAAACTTACAACTTTCAACAACTGAATCTAGAAAAAAACAAAAAAACAAACTAAGCAATCAGAACAGGAACAGAATCTCAAAAATGGAGATCACATGGAGGGTTTTCAGCTAGGAGAGGGGTGGAAGAGAATGGGGGAAACAGTACAGGGAATAATCACCATAAAAAGTTAGGGGGAGGTTAAGAATAGTATAGGAAATGGAAAAGCCAAAGAACTTATATGTACAACACATGGACATGAACTAAGGGGGTGGCGGGGGGGCAGGGGGGGAGTATATGCTTGTGGGAGAAGGGTGCAAGGTGGAGGGGAATAAGAGAGAAAAAAATGAGACAACTGTAATAGCATAATCAATAAAATATACTTTAAAAAATCCAGTGAGAAAAGGTTACACTAGTTGAAATAAAGAACAATTTATAAAGAATCAATAGTAGAGTGCATGAAGCCAAGAATCAAATCAGTGATTTGGAATATAAGAAAGCAAAAACCCCAATCCGAACAGTAAAAAGAAAAAAGAATCCAAAAATATGAAAATTGTATTAAGAGCCTCTGGGACAACTTTAAGTGTATCAACATTTGCATCATATGGTTGCTGGAAGGAGAGGAGAGAGAACAAGAAATTGAAAATCTATCTGAAGAAATAATGATGGAAAATTTCCTAACCTGGTAAGGAAATCAACAAGTCCACAAAGTGCATACAGTCCCAGATAAGATGAACACAAAGAGGCCCAAGCCAAGAAACACTGTAATTAAAACACTAAAGGTTAAAGACAAAGAGGAAATCCTTTAATGCATCAAAGGAATAGCAGCTGGTTCCCTAACAAGGGAGCTCCCATAAGACTGTCAGGTAGATTCTTAACAGAAACTATGCAGGACACAAGGGAGTGGCAAGAAATATTCAAAGTGATAAAAAGCTAGGACCTACAACCAAGACTATTCTACCTAGCAAAGCTATCATTTAGAAAGGAAAGACAAATAAAGAGCTTCCCAGACAAGAAAAAGTTAAAGGAATTTGTTACCACCAAACTACTACATAAAATTTTACAGGGTCTTCTTCAAGGGAAGATAATAAAAGATCAAAAATACAAACAACAAAATGACAATACATACATATCTATCAACAATTGAATATAAAAAACAAAATAAATGAACAAGCAGAACAGACATAGATATAGAGAACATCTTGAAGGTTGCCAGATGGGGGTAATGGGTGAAAAAGGTAAAGGCATTAAGAAGTACAAATTAGTTGTTATATAGTCATAGGGATGTAAAGTATAGCATAGGGAGTAATAATATTCTAATAACTATATATGGTGTCACATACGCACAAGATTTATTGGGATGATAACTAGTGGGTTATGTAAGGTCTAATCACTACACCTGACACTAATAAAATACTATATGTCAACTTTAATTGAAAAACAATAAATGATTAAAGAAAATAATAATTAGCCCTGACTGGCATGGCTCAGTAAGTAGGGTGTTGTCATATAAACTGAAAGGTAGCTGGTTCGATCCCAGTCAGGGCACATGCCTAGGTCCCCAGTTCAGGGTGTGCGAGAAGCAACTGATTGATTTTTCTCTTGTGCATCAATGTCTCTCTTTCTCCCTCCCTTCCCCTTTCTCTAAAAGTAAATAAAATCTTAAAAAAAATAAAATGTTAAAAAAAGAAAGAAATTTACCAGTTTAGTGACACTGCAGGTTAGAAGAGAGACTATTTCACAGTACATTAAATTCCTTGAATAAAAGATGGCAACAGTAAATGGTATTAACACTCACTCTTTAATCCTTTTGGCTCTTTGCGGCCTTTTTCTTCCTTGTCTAAATCATGCCTTTTCTGGTATTTTTCTTTGGGTTCATTTTTTTTGGTCTCTTTTTCCTGAAAGAAACACATGTAAGACCCAAAAAATAAGAGCTGCTACCATCTGACACCTTTGTGTGCCATGGCACCTGACCACTGATCATTAAATCTTTTACACATTAACAGTTGCTTCCTCAATTGAGATTTTTACTCAACTATAATTTATAGCCCTGGCTGGTGTGGCTCAGTGGATTGAGCACCAGCCTGCAAACCAAAGGGTTGCCGGTTCAATTCCCAGTTAGGGCACATGCCTGGGTTGCACACTGGGTAACCAGTGGAGGGTATGCAAGAGGCAACCACACATTGACGTTCCTCTCCCTTTCTCCTTCCCTTCCCCTCTGTCTAAAAAATAAATAAAATCTTAGGAAAAAGACATAATTTATAAAACATCAAATTAAAAACCCAATACGAATTTCCTGAACTCTCTGTTAAGAATTTATTACTAAAAATAAAGAAAATTCCAGCTCTGACTGGTGTGGCTCAGTGGGTTGGGCATCACCCCACAAACTTCAAGTTTGCCAGTTCGATTCCTAGTCAGGACATATGCTTAGGTGTGGGCCAGGCCCCCGACTGTGGGAACGAGAGAGGCAACTGACTAATGTTTCTCTCCCTCTCTTTTTTCTTCCTCTTCTCCCTCTAAAATGTAAATACAATCTTTAAAAATAAATTCCCAAAAATGTTATCCTACAGTCCTATTAAGCAAACAAGACCTTTTATTTATGTACATTCTGCCTTCTCAGCTAATTTTGCTGACAGTTTTGTCATTTAAAATTCTTTTTAAAAATTTACATTGCATAGACATTTTTATATGAACGTGTTCATAAAATTTTGTAAATTCTTTTATTTTGGCTATACTGACCTCATAATTAATATTTCCATGGATATATAATAGGTCTCAAGTTGATGCAGCATTTTCTTAACCATTTCCCTGTTGGGGACTGCCCTGCCTGGTCTCAGGAAGCTGTAACCCCCCCCCCCCCCGTGACTTAGGTTGAGTGAAAGACCTCTGGACCAGAAGCCACTGAGGAGACAAATCTTATTTCCCTGGCATGAACGCTGCCTGTTCTAATGCCTGGCTTCCCTTTTGTATGATCGGCAGTCAATGATGGGTAACAATTCTCTAAGAAAGAGAATGAAGCTAAGATAGACGCGATCACGTGGGAATGCCTAGGGAAGAAACTCACAGGGCTATGGATATGAAGGGGTGATTGACATCAACCCCTGCCCCCCTGCTGCCTCTGTCATCTGCCTGCAGGGGTGGTGCAGCCCAGACCAGAAACGGTGGGCCCCCCGGGGTAATCAGGCCTGGGACATAGAATATGCAAAATCCTGTGAGATCTGTTTGCTGGAGGATGTTACTAACTTGGAATTTAAAGGCACAGGCAGGAAACCTTTGGAATCTGTAGCCTTTCATATGTTAAAGACCACAAACCTTGCTCAGAATCACAGCAGGGGTTCTGTCCCCACCTTTGTAAGTTGCCTACATCTTTTGATCTTTTCTGCCAGACTGTGAATCCACAAACTAAGTCTGTTTTCTCAATAAAAATCTGCTTGGGTATGGACACAGGGCGCTCCCCACTAGAGAGAGGGTGGCCATTTTGTCCCTATTCCCCCACAGGACCTGGTTGTCTCTGTGTATGTTTTCCTTGTGTTTTGATGAACATCCGCAGCCGAAATGGATACTGCTGGCCGGTATCCTCTACATTTCCCTCATGGCTAAACAGTTAGACTGGTGATTAATTTAAATGATGATAATACTGCTATAAATATCTATGTCTACAGAGCTCTTTCTCCCTTGAAAATGATTTCTTTAAGATAAATCTACAAAACTGAAAATAATGGATAAAAATTACTGTTTTTATAGTGCTTGATAAATAGTGCATGTATCAATACATATATGAATATTTTCATAATGTGGAAAATGTTTCCACTTTGAAAACCCATTTAAAACAATTTTTACAATAAGGGGATAAACTATTAAATATATTTTTACAAGAAAAGACTTAATGGGAGAAAAACTGTTCTTATAATTCTACTGTTTTCTCATTATTTGTGAAACTCTGACTATTCAAAGGAGAGTTAGCTGGACAGGAACATTCCTTATAAGATTTTAACACAGAGTTCTTCAAACAACCCCCCTAGTACTTACTTCCCTGGCCAAGTCAGTGGATAAGAGGCCCCTCTCTTCCTCACCCAGCCTTGAGCTCTTCTGTGTATAGGAAGATGCATGTGTCAGATTATCTGAGTCTGTGGTATTTCTGCTTTTGTCTTGATTCCTTTGCTTTTTATGTGCATTTTTCTTCTCTAAAGAAAGGTTCTTGTTTTCTAGCTTTTTGCTTTCTTTAAGTTCCTCGGCCTTTCTGGGTTTCTTTTTGTTTCTCTTTCCTCTGACATCAGCATCCTCATCAGCACTCCCACACCCATCCAGCTGTTTATCTAGAACAACGTCTTGAGCTCCATCTGGCCCTGCTTTGTCTTTTCCACTTTTAATCTTCAGTTTCTCTTCTCTGTTGTCAGGCTGTACATCCTCACTGTCCCCCTCATGAAAGGGAGGGTCACTGAGTACATCTGATTCAGATTCCAATGGAAATTCAACACATTTGTCTTTTTTTGTTTTTCTGTTTTCTTTGAAATCTTCTTTTATTTTACTTTTAAAATCTCTTATTTCACCCTTTTTAATTTTCTTTAATTCCTTAGTTTCTTTTATATCATCCTTTTTGGGCTTTTTGGATTCCTTTAATTCTTCTTTGGCTTCAGAAATTCTTTTCTTTGTCCTTAAATCAAAAACTGAAATTTCAAAGCTCTCCAGGTCTGGCTTCGATTTCTCTTTTAGTTTACCAGTCTTTGCTTTTTTCTTCTTCAGATCATCAGGGCTTTTCTCTTCTCTCTGCCTTAATTTTTTCTTTTTCTTTTTTGGAGAAGTATCTTCTTTTGTCTCACTCTGCTGATCACTATCAGAGTTTGCCTCAAATATGTCATTATTTAAGGATAGTCTCTATAAAACAGAAAAAATTTAAATACTCATTAACATAGTAATTTGAAAGGTTTTGAAAAGTAGTACTGACAATATCTGGTAGAAATGTTTTTTTCCTCCCTAGAAGTTTCTCAACTCCTTAAAATTACTTACCTAAACATAAGATGTGTAATATTACCTATATCTCTGATTTAGCAAATAGGTGTTACCGATGAAGAGCTTCAATTTAAGAAAGCAGATGTGAACAACAGTAACTGTCTTATGTATGGTGGTGTTGGTGGGGGTAGGGTTGTAAATGGTTTGAATTACAAAATTCCCCAAATCACCAAGTAACTAATTTATATAGACTATCTTGGTTATCATTAAAAAAAAATAAGTAGTTGCCAATCTAAACACAAAGGATTTTTTTTTTTAAAGTTTTTGGGTTCTGTGGGAGCGGGGGCTGGATTGGGAGTAAAAAGGAGAAAACTGTATTTGAACAATGATTAAAATAAAATAAAATAAAATAAATAAAAAAATAAAAAAAGTATTGAGGAAATATCAGGCTCACTAAACTTAAAAAAAAAAAAAAAAGGTTTTTGGGTTCCAAAATGTCCATAAACTTGCTGTTACACTTCACTATTGTATATGGAATGAGTAAAGATGGCACCCAAATCTCACCTCTGCAACTGATTTATTACATACAGTTGATCCTTGAACAATGCAGGAGTTAGGGGCAATAAGCCCTGCACACTTGAAAATCTGAGTATAACTTTGAATCCCCCAAGATTTTACAGTTGTGGGGGACTGGTTTCAGGACCATGCCTCCCCACCAATAGCCACAGATACAAAGCTCCATGCATGCTCAACTCCCTTATATAAAATGGCATAGTTCCAATATAAACATAGTAGGTTCTTACATCCACAGAGTCCTGTGGTTGATTCTGCAAATGAGGAACATGAGAATATGGAGGGCTGGGATTATGGTATATTTACTGAAAAAATCTGTATACAGGTGGACCTGTGCAGTTCAATCCCATACTGTTCAAGGATAAACTTACTTCAAATTAGATATGGAGGGCCTGGAAGGCAGGGAGAAAAGAGATACTAAATAACAAATAAATGCACCTATTTATCAAATTGATAATATAACCACAGAGAAGAAAAACAAAAGAATTAATCTAAGTAACTTTGATACTAAACACCCCCAGTGAAACTCGTAAGTACAGCAAACCTGCATATAAATTTGGAATTTTACAAGAAGTGGTGTAGCAAATCCGAAGCTAATTTCTAATCATTGTAGTAAGGAGAAGTCAGTACAAATAGAGCTGATGGGAACCAGTGTTCTCAGGATATAAAAAGGAAGCTAGTACGATGACCAATGAGAATGACAGGAAGCCCCTGTAGCAATGGACTGAACAAATGTGTACGTTTTCCTTTAGTTCTATTTTGGGCTTAGAAATAATGGCACCCTAGCAGCAGTTAGTACATCTTCGTTTCTAAAACCTCTTCCCTCCTAAAGAGAACCAGGTCGGAGCAGAGAAGTTCATGGCAATACTGAAACACCTCTGCCAGAAAGCAATGATGTGCTCAAAAGTAACAAGAGAATATCAAAAAGATGCAGGAGGTGGCTTGAAGGTAAATTTGGAACCATTTTGGAACCCACTAGATAAATGCGGAACGATTTTAGCATTAAGGCAAGTAACAACAGTAATGGACATAATGCATTGACGAAAGGGTCCATGAGTATAATATGGACACTAAGAGAGAGGGTGGAGTGGCCCTTTATAGACACAGACTGAAAAATACAGAATAAAAGAATTAGAAAAATCAATATTTTACAACCACCACAGTAATAACTAATTGAGGCATGAATCATACAAGTATTTTAAAATCAAGGGGTGAGAAGGTTATTGGGGAACAAGAAATTCTGTTTCAAAGATTACTTGTTATTAGATTACTTATTATCAGGTTACTTATTATTTTAAAAGTAAAAAGGTATTTTTAAAAAGGGAGAAAAATGGGCCTTGCTATCATATAATTTATAATATATGTAATAATAAATTAGAAACTGACATATCTTGATGTAATTAATGCACATGATACTGAATCTAATCATGAGGAAACAAATCATCTAATTCCAATTTTTTAAAAATACAGTTTATTTGTGATTTAACATTAATAAGCATTCATCTAGTTCCAATTTGAACAACTTTCTAGAAACAATTGGCCTAGACTCATAAAAACTGTCCATGTCATGAAAGACAAAAGGTTATGAATATCTAGAAAATAGGAAACTAGAAAGATATGAGATGAAGCCCCCTGCATGACAGAAAGCAATAAAGGACCTTTAGGAACAATGGAAAAGCCCTACTGAATGCAGCCATGTGTTAGCTGGACATCAGACAACAGTGTTGCTGATATAACACTAATGATGTGTCATAGTGAGGAATCTGAATTTCCCTGAGGATGTCTCTGTAGTTAAGAGACACATGCTGAGGAATTCAAGAAAGTCTGCAATGTGCTCTGAAGTTATCGTCTCCTCACCTTACAGCCATCCCTCTGCTGTAAGTAATTTCTGTAAGAGTACTGAATGACTTCTACTTTCTCATTTTACCCTCTGTCCTAAAGAGTTTACACTGCAGTCCATCCCCTTGAAAATCATGCTGCTAAGGACTGGTGTTGATCTTATTTCCAAACTTGAAGAATTAAATATCCTGGTTTTACTTACATTTTCTGCAATGATAAAGGGAAAAGGAGGGGGAAAAAGGAGGACTAAATTTAATCTTGCCAGGTGTATGATTAATATTACTTCAAAAATATTTTTAAACAAGAATTATAAAACTGATTTTTTAAAAATACAGTCCATCAGATTGTGACTTGGAAAATAGTAATAACAAGAACTATCCTGCATCCTATACCAATTCCCAGCCCATGCCTTTTTCTTTAACTCAGGCCTGTATTTCTAGTTGGAGACTTGAAATCTTCATGAAATGACAAGTAATGTGTTCAAAACTGGACCCATTCCCTAAATACACCATCATTTATCTAGGTTCCCAAATATGTAATCTTAGTTATCTCTGACTCCATTTCCCCTCCTCCTTCAGATCAGTCACAAAACCCTGTGGAATATGGAATCAGTGCTCCAACCTACACTACCTGAATTCAGTTCCTTACCTCTCCCTTTTGGCAGTCTCTCCCCATTCCAGAATCAATTATATCCCTGGCTAATAAAGGCAGAAGGGATGAAAGAATTAGGAAATAACTATTTTCCAACCTCTAATGAATTAATGGTTCTAGGCAATGATCATCAATGGCTCCTAAAACCTACACATCAAATATTAGGAGCACTCCAATAATGGAGCAGATGGAAAACACCTTATCTCACTGATCACCTCAACCTCACTGTGAGAGTTAATTGGACGTTATGTGCTTTCTAATAGGTTGTGATGGGGGTGCATGACACCAATTATGACTTTCCCTGAAAAAACTAACTAAACCTGAACACAGTCATCCTTCCATGTCTAGCTACCAGCTTATAGAAATAGGGGGGATAGAGAAACATATTAAAAGACAACACACTCAGTCAAACCCAGAATATAGGAAATTCTACAAAAAAATGTGGTTTCTTCATCAATAAACAGCATGGGGAAAAAAGGTGGGAGGGTTAGGGGTAGAAATAATTACACATTAGGAAAGATTTTAGAGTTTATCAATAATATACAATGTGTAGGCCTTTCTCAAATCCCATATCAATTAAATCAACAAAAACTGTTTTTGTTTTGAAACAACAGGGGGAAACTGAACATATTATTAGGTATTAGAAGGTACTAAGAACTAAGTATAAACTTCTTGGTATGATAATAATATAGTGGGTGTTTTAACAATTCCTTTTACATACTGAAGTATTTCAAGGGGCAGCAATATGACATCCAGAATTTCCTTTACAACACTCTAGCAAATCAAAAGGGAGGGTGAGAAGCAAAGAGGAAAAAGAAGAATGTCAAAGTACTGATAGATGCGGTGATGACAGTATAGCCTTATGATACCACCCTGTCCATTTTTAGATGTTCAAACTGTCCTTAATAAAATTCTTTTAAAATCACCTTTCTGAAACATCAATCTCGTGATATAACTTCCCTCAAATTTCTACTGGTTTTTCTAATGCTCCAATGGTCAAGTTGGACCCAAGCTGCACACCAACTTCCCTGGGCTCCCTTATGCTTCATTCCCATGTAACCCTTTAGCTCTTCCCACCATTCGTAAGGCAGGTGCTTCTGCACAAACTCTGTTGGTTTGTCCCTGTCCCTTGAATTCATCAATTTTAAAAAAGATTTTATTTATTTTTAGAGAGAGGGGAGTGGAGAGACAAAGAGAGGGAGAGAAACATCAATGAGAGAGAGAGAAACATCCCAACTGGCAACCCAGGCATGTACTCTCACCAGGAATTGAACCAGTGACCTTTCAGTTCGTGGGATAATGCCCAACCAACTGAGCCACACCAATCAGGGCAAACTCCTCATTTTTAAGGGCTCAGGACAAATCCTCTGTAACTTTCATGCTCATCTCAGAAAGTTGGTCACTCCTTTCTGTTTGACTCTTCACAGCACACACAGCTACCTGAGAACATGTGTCCCTGCTTCAACACCTCCCCACCCTGTCCTGAGTTCTGTGAAGACATACCTCACACCTTTTTCTGTGTGCCTAGTGATGGACACACATTACAGCTGGACTTTTAGATGAATGATCATGAAATGATTAGCAAACAAGGCTGGTGTTATCCCTTTTATTGGGTAAACAACTTAAAAGAATTCTGAAATTCTGAAAATCCTAAACTGTATAAAGAAAGAAAGTCCTCTGGGGAGTTTCCATTCACCAACTTTAAAATGGAGCCTCCACAGAAATAAGACAGTCTCCTTGCTGTCATAGCCATTCTACACCATATCCACTCTCTCAGCCTTGTCCCTGTCACCCGGCAGTGTTTCCTGCCCCATTTGGTGTCTGCTGTGGCTATCACACAATAGGGTGGCAGGGTCACTTGT